TACCTTTGCAGTCATCAAATATGTCGAACAAAACACATAAAGGCTGGACATTGTTCATAGGCCGCCATATGATATATTTGTCCGATTTTGATGAAATTTAATGAGTAATTCGAGAGTCGTTAGAGAACTTTGTATTCCAAAAATTAAATCAAATGCTTGTCTGATGCAAAACAACGATGTAATCATTTCATTCCCGTCAATTCCATATAGAATTTTATATCTTTCCTATGGCATCTACATATAAGATAACGTTGTCGGATTTTAATGACATTTTTTCTTAATTCAAGGGTTATAAAAAAACTATTTTTTGAAAATCATGCTCGTGGGACTAAAAACAACGACGTTATAATTTTTTTCCATTATTAATACATATATTTAATCCGAAATTCAATAGTAGTTAGTTAAATGACGACTGCAAGGGTGTATAAGCTTCGGCTTTCTTGTTTGATTTCAATAAATATTTGTTGTAACTCAAGATGCTTTTGAAACTCTATATTTAACTGTATTTTATATTTTATTTTCCTGTGAATTAATAAACACTGTATGGCCATTACCAATCTTCATTTCAGGCTTAACTCGGCCAGCGTTATACCCATTTGGAGGAGGTCAATATCCATACCCAATGTTGAGTTCAGATATGTCGCAAGTTGCTTCATGGTGTGTCAAGCTAACTATATATCTTTTGTTCCAGTTAATGTTAATGCGTTTTCTTTTAGGCACACACCCTCAGTGTACTCTGCATCCAGTTTTAGAACTCCTTATCCCTCCTCGATCCCAATAAACAATACGCTTTCAAGGTAATAACAAAATGAGGAAAACAATCAAGTTGATTACTTTATTTAAAAAGTTTTTTCTCAGGACAATAGCTTGTAAAAATTCGAAAAGAATTTTCTCTAATGCTTTCGGTTAATAAATACATTTTTTTTTTTACCTTTCAGAGGGTAATATAGTTTTAGTCAGAAGATCGAAACACATTAAGAATACTCTTCAGTATATGTATTCTTGATCAACATCACCATCTAAATTGAACCAGACGTTTAAAAGACGTTTAATATTGAGGGGGAAAACCAGTTTATGGGGTCGAAATTTTGCCGTTTTTCATGATTTTTTTTAACCAGGAAGGAATAATCACAAATTGTTTAAACTTGGAGGATATTTTATTTATGTTTTCAAGTAAACTTTCAAATTCGTTTAAACGATTTCCGACGGAAATAGTGGAGTTGCCATCCGAGCATTTGGCTTGCGTACGTCCCTGACGTCGCAATTTTTATCTGTTATCATCAGGAATTTTTTTTCTTCTCATTAAAAAACATATTTTCTAAGAATATGAATCTTATTTTGACCAAATAAATTGAAAATTGCATGTTTTTGAGGTGTTTGAACACAATGTCATGTTTTTATACTATATTTTTTCATCTTTCTTGCGTAGAAAAATATTTTTATAACAATATAATCCTCGAATTTGGTTCATGTTCCGTGGAATTAGGAATATCTACTCCAAATTTCAGAACGATTGATCAATAACTTTTAATAAAAAAAAGTAGTTTCGAGAAAAACGCGTTTGAAATAAAATGTGCGCTTCTTCACAGAACGAACGGGCGGTCACTTAAGTGCTCATTTCCTTCGAACTAATGGGAATTTTGTTTTGAAATTTTTACCACATATTCTTGAATAGTTAATATAACGATTAATGCAATAATAAAAATGATTTTTTGATCGGTCTAAACTGGGTTCCCCCCTTAAACCGTCGTTTTTTATTCCACATTTTAAGAACATCGAGTTTTTTAAATACCCTTGAATCAAGAAAAAAAATTTCATAAAAATCGGACAACTATATCGTAGAGCTACCATAAAAAAGATCGAAAAATCTATATAAGATTAACGGAAATTAACGAAAAAAAAATGATAACATCGTTGTTTTTCATCAGAAAATCGTGATTTTTGGAATATAGAGTTTTTCAATGACTCTTGAATTATCAACTAAATTTCATTAAAATCTGACGACTATTTTATATAGCTGTCATGTGAACAATAGTCGAAAATATGGAAAATTAATAGAAAAATCGTCGTAGCTTCGATGTTGTTTAGCTTTTATGTATTTAGTTAAACTCTTTAATGTCTGCAAGGGTATATAAGCGTCGGCTTGCAGAAGCTAGCTCCCTTTCTTGTTCTTAATTTTTATTATTATTATTATTATTATATTACGTTCATTTATTTCGCATATGGAAAATGTTTTTGTTTATCAGCGAGCTTTGTAGGTGCAATGTACGTAATTTAAAACCTATGTTGTCATATTGTGATTCTTGGGTATTTGAATGCAAATATTGTATCGTCAGCATAACAAATATATAGTTTACGACCTGAAAAATACATTGTTTATGTTTGAAGGTTTTAATTACTACAGAAAAGCCTATTCTAACACTCTATTTGCAGTGATTTTCCATTCCGATTTTCACCCAGCCTATTGCCCTCCGTGCACGCCACATCGCACCACGTATTAAATGCGCATTCTGCCATCGTGGGGGTTAGCTCCAAACAGGACTGCGTAACGCCGGATACCACATCAAATAATAGATACTCCAGGTAAATATACATTTAATTTACATTACATTTACATTTTATTAAAGCCAGCTTGTGCTACTAATAGCATGCAGTAAACAGAACAGTATTGTTTAATTATTAGAATGAATAAATGATTATATAATTATGGAATTCTATATTTAATTGTACAAATTATTTTTGAAAATAATTCTTTTCAATTAAAAGTGGTTTTACATGTGTTCCTTAATTTTTGGGCACTAGTTTCCATTAAGTGTACTTTGAAATTTTAAGTTTTAAGTTTTATTAAAGCCAGCTTGTGCTACCAATAACATACAGTAAACAGAATAGTATTGTTTAATTATTAGAATGAATAAATGATTATATAATTATAGAATTTTATATTTAAATGTACAAATTATTTTTTAAAATTAATTTCATTTAATTTTCAATTAAAAGTGGTTTTGCATGTATTTCTTAATTTTTGGGCACTAGTTTCCATTGAGTGTACTTTGAAATTTTAATTTATTGGGTGGGCAATCTGCATCCGCCATCTTTAATTTACCAATGGCTTTCTTCAATGCACATATTTACATATACACGCATAAAGAACAAATGAACAAACTGCGGATATATATAAGGTCTCTCATTGGTGGTCTTGTTGACATAGCGCCTGCGCATTCTACTTCAACCCCTAAAATAGGGCTCAATCGAATTTCTTACCCCTCAACTTCGAAATTCTCGCTGATATATTTTCGAAAATGTTGCCACAAACCCTTTAGAATTTGTTGTTTTCGTATACAGTCACATCTTATTGTTTGTCCGATATCAACAATGGTACGCTACTGTCTATTACTTCTCGAAAGGAGAAATTATAGAAAAACAAAGTTTTCTCGCTAAAAACTTAACAAAAGTTGTGTATCGCTCCTATAAAAAAATCTTTTTTATTACACAGGCAAGAATTTTAGCAAATCTCCTTCATTTCAAAGTTAATTTATAGTATACCTGCAAATAAAAAGATTTAAAAATATTTCTATAATTATGAAATAACAAGAAAGGAAGCTTATATCCCTTGCAATCATCAAATATGTCGATCAAAATGCATTAATTTAATCAATAATAACAATAATTAATTTAATTTTCCATATTTTCGACTATTGTTCGTATGGCAGCTATATGACATAGTTGTCCGATTTTGATCAAATTTAATATGCAATTCAAGGGCAGTTTGAAAACTCTGTATTCCAAAAATTTCCTATGGCTGCTATATGCTAACGTTGTCGGATTTTATTGAAATTTTTTTCTCAATTCAAGGGTTATTAAAAAACTCCAGGTTTTGAAAATCGTGCTCGTGGGATTAAAAACAACGACTTTATAATTTTTTTCATTATTTATATACATATTTTTTGATCTTTTGTATGGCAGCTATATGGTGGAGTTATCCGATTTTGATAAAATTTTATCCGAAATTCAATAGTGGTTAGAAAACGCCATCTGGAAGAAATCAAGTCGATCCGATCAAAAACAATGGCTTTAGAATTTTTTATTTCAATCTCTTGTATGGGAGCTATCCTATATAGTCGCCCGATCCCGCCCGTTCCGACTTATATACTGCGTGCAATAACTACACACCTTTTGGAAAAGTTTCAGTAAGATAGCTTTAAAACTGAGAGACTAGTTTACATAGAAACAGACAGACGGACAGACGTATTTCGATTCAGATGGTGATGCCGATCAAGAATATATATAATACATATTATGGGGTCTGAGGTGTCTCCTTTACTGGGTTGCAAACTTCTGACTGAAATTATAATACCCTTTGCTCTGCAGGGGTATAAAATTGTCGTAGCTTCGATGTTGTTTAGCCCTTATGAGTTTTGTTCTGGAGATGGATTTTTGTTTTGCATTGTTGTGACAAATAAAACTTTATTGGCGATATATTAATCTTTGAGTTACATTGAGCATTGAAAAAATGAATATAAAATTGACTTATACATGTTTTCTAAGCCTCTCCAAGCTCTCTGGGCGAAAGAGGCAAAAGCTCTTATTAGCCGCTCTTTAACGCCCCAGAGCACAGACTATGTATACATTAAATGTGTAGACAAATTGTTTGTAAGATGTAGATATCCTGGCTATTTTACGTGTTGTAAAATTCGTTCAAAAACATGTATACATAGGATACCACAATATAGAAGTGCTGAATAAAGTATAAGAGAAAGTATAAGAATTACCAGGTGCTTTTAATTTTATTTGTGCCTCCTAATTAAGTGAATTATGCCTAAAATCGACTTAAAATGTTATTTATGTGTTTGTGCAAATACAGGTTGCAAAGAAAACTATTAATGTTTTTATAATAAAAGGCCTGCGCAGTGGCTCTCACGCATTCAATTTCATTCGTGCTGCTGAATTGTCTTCGTTTTTTTGACGGATGAACTTCGTACACCTTTATCGCCAGTTTTTATTTTCAACGTCCTAAAGAGAGTAATTCGGCAATTGTTGTGGCAGTATATACAATTTTGCGAAAATTTCTGAGAGCAACAAATTTTAATAATATAATAATTATGAAAGGCTTTTTGCAATAAAACCATGAGTTGTCAATTGGAAAGACACAAGCTTATCGTTATACGTAACATAATTCTCAAAAAATAATATAAACATTCAATTCTCAAAGGAAAGATAAATAACTATAAATAACGATTGAGTAAATACATTAAAAATGTCAAAAGCTGACAAAATGAATCTAGTTAACTACGAAACGTTTAAATTGGTTGCATTGTTTTTATAAAACTGTATTTCCCTTTGCCGTGTTAATAATATAAATAAAATCTTCCTTATTGCACCGGACAATAAACACCCTGTTTATCTCTGTATAAAGATTGATTATAAATAATAATAAAAGCAATTAATTTAATATCAAAACTTGCATAATTAAAATAACATTTTAATATAACATCTGAATATATGCAAACCCAAAAAGCAAATAAATGAAGAATGTATATTATCGCTTATAACAAGAAAATAATTATAAATGCCTAACTAAACAGTTTATCAATCGGATCTTCACAGAAGGTCGCGGAACATATCTATAATGCCAAACTTGGATGCATTTAAAGGTGGAAGAAATTCGGATTCAAAAGAGTTAATTTTTTACACAAAAAACCACAGGGATGGAGAACTAGCAAACATCAACTTTAAATTATCTTCATATGATGTAAAAAAAAAACATGATGCAACAGTTTCTCACTCTCATGAACAACAAAATCGCGATGATGTGGAAGCGTTTTTCAATGTTCCGTCCCTTAGTCCCGCAGGAACGGCGGCATCATTATCCGAACTGCTTTTAGCACAGCCAAAGGCATTTTCCGAAAATTGGCAATTGGAACATGAAGCGGACAAATGTCAAGAAAAGATTTTTCGCAATACAAATTCCATTTTTTCCTATATAAGTCAGCAGAAATGCTCAGAGCAGCAACTGTTGGCTACACAACTTTTTTATGCTGGGCTTTTTCAACCACAGGTATTGGAACGAGATTCAGATTCAGTAAAAAAGACAACGGTTCCAAAAAACCAACTTTTACGAATCCCATCTTCTCAAGATAGTAATAACAATATTGAGTTACTCAACGATTCTGAAAATATCCTTATTCAAAATAAAAGCCTAAAAAATAAGCAAGAATCGGAGAATTGCAATCCCATGATAAAGAACGACAAGAACTTTAAACTAAGTACGGGAGCTATGTGTACAGATGAATTTAATCTGCAATACACTTTTGAGTTTATCCGAGAGCATAAGAACGTACTAGTCGATGTTAAAAACAGACTAGGAAAACTCTTTCTTCTATCAGAAAAATTTCGAAAAGCTCTCAGTGTGCGTCAATGCAGATTCAATGTTAATAATGATTCGGATTCTGCTCTCGAGGCGACTGTGGGGCGCCAGCTGGATGGAACGTGTAAGTCGATTGACAGCATATTGAAGCAAGTGAAACGTCTTTGCAATCAATGGAGCAGCGCTGAGCTCTATTATCTTCGAAGCTTGGACCGCTTAGGACTGACATCCGAAGAAGGATCTGAATTTGACCATACGCCGACTCATAACATTATGGCTATGGCAGCCATAGCTTTGTCTGGTGAAAATGAGCTTTCGAACAAGAAAGCTTCCAGTATGGAAATGGGCTGTAAGCAGCTAGACACTAAAAGCGAATCAGATCTTGTGTCATCGATAGTAAAGCCCAAAACATTAAATGAAATAGAGGATATTATATTGCAACTTGCTTCAACTGTTAATATAAATCAATCGAGTCAAGCTAGCGTCACACTAGCGTCAACTGTTAATATAAATCAATCGAGCCAAGCTAGCGTCACACCTGACGTGTACAGTGATAGTTCTAAAAGTGAGTGCGAAGAAAATACTTCGTCTCCAGCATGCATTTGGCATTCAAAAAAGCGGAGCTTTTGCCAAAATAAGGAGGTAGAGCATTGCTCCACTGCAGCTGAAATAATTTTAGAATATGCTTCATTATCATCTTCTTCCAATGCAAACAATCTACGCATGACTGATTCTCTAACAACTTCATCAAACTTTTCTCCCAGTATATTCAATAACTCCAGGGATGGTTCAACTGTGTCAATCATCACCGATCCTGCCTTCTTCTCTGAGTTCCCTGCTGCTCCTTCTACACCGTCGACTAGTAGTAATAGTGGCTGTTCAACTGGAATAGGTTCCGGAATCTTTGGTTCGAGTCACAATCGAAGAAAACCCAGATTCGCACGGCGAATTGAAACTCTTACTTCAGATTCTTCTAAGTCCAATTATTTAAAAAGTAATAACAATAAGGAAACGCATTGCCAGCCAAAGATATCGACTACCATTACTACTAATGGCGAAGATGATTTGTTAACATTCATTTCCAAGACCACATCCTCTTCAAGCGAAGTCACTGTGACGACAGCGCAGGAACGTTCCATAACCAAAATGTTTAAATCACGCCTTACAGCGCTTACGGAAGACACCGGTTCAACCGAACGCGAAATATTACCAATATTAGATGCTCCGTATGACTTGAGTATTCGAACAAAGATAAAACAAATGTAATTTTCAATTTTACTTCTACTAGTTTAAAAATCAATTTACATACCCTTGCAGAAGACTTGCAACGCAGTGACTCTATAAGTATATATTATTGATCAGGATCACCACCCGAGTCTGTTTCTGTGCGAACTTGACTTGACTCTTAGTTTTATACGACTTTTTCATAAAGCTCCCATAGAAATTATTGGATCACAATTCTTACGTCGTAGGTTTTTTTTTACAAGCAACCATTTTTGTAGATACAGTAGAATCCTGTTATAACGACTCCGCTTATAGTGTCCGTTTGCGACGAAAACTCCATGGTTTGATTGGTCAGACTTATACACTTAAATCCTTCTGCTTAGTGCGTCTTCCGGGTATAACGACGAAAAATCGTCGGTCCCTTGAAAGTCGCTATAAGCGAATTCCACTGTAGTTCTTCTTAAGGCCTCTTGAATCGGGCTACTAAATTTAAAAGTTATTAGTTAGTGTCCATTAAACAAGCATGTATTTTGAAATATCGAGTTTTTCAATGACAATCGAAAAGGATACAATTTTATATCGATCCTTTTCAAATTTTTATCACAAAAAAAAAAAACACCACATAAATACGCAGGTCATTAGGAAAAGTTTTTTTTTAATTTTTTTCTATTTTTAAAAAATAAATTACCACCCATTTTTTGAGCTAAAAATTAATAAACTTGATTTTCCAAAAATCATGCTCGTAGGATTAAAAACAACGACGTTATAATTTTTCCATTATTTGTATATATATTTTTCGATCTCTCTTATGGCAGCTATACGATAGAGTTATCCGATTTTAATAAAATTTAATCCGAAATTCAATAGCAGTTAGAAAACGCCATCTGGAAGAAATCAAGTCGATCCGATCTACAGCTGTCTGAGAATTTTTTATTTTGTTCTCTCGTATTGGAGCTATCCGATATAGTCGACCGATCCGGCCCTTTCCGACTTATATACTGCGTGCAATAACTAAACACCTTTTGAGAAAGTTTCAGCAAGATAGCTTTAAAACTGAGAGACTAGTTTGAAGAGAAACGGACAAACGGACAGACGGACAAACGGACAGACGTACAGGCGTATTCCTATTCTGATCAAGAATATATATACTTTCTGGGGTCTGAGGTGACTCCTTCACTGCGTTGCAAACTTCTGACTGAAATTATAATACCCTTTGCCCAGCAAGGGTATAAAAACTATTCCTGGTTACCTCGAGAAATATATTACCTTTACAACGCATATCACTTCTGTTATTTTAAGAGTTATGATGTTCAAGGCGCTTCTGAAGATTAGCCGTCACAGGCTTATTTCTAAATATTTTTCATTAAACATTTGTTTTGATACTCTTCAAAAGTTGAACAATAATATGTCATTAAACTTAATAAAACTCCTCTTTTTTGGCCTTTAAAACCTTACCCTTTTCACATTTTCACAACAGTACACATCCCAAATCGTCAATATGTTTCTAACGTAAAAAATCAATCTCATAGAGCGCAACATGGTGACACAATGAAATGAGCGTTTGTTTAAATGTCTAAACGTATTTTATTTAGAATTGTGGGAGTTCTTAGTTTTTTACATAATGTGGGAGCTCTGAGGGTATAATAATTTCAGTAAGAAGTTTGCATCGCAGTGTAGGAGTCGGCCCCATAGAGTGTATATCTTCTTGATCAGCATCACGATATGAATCTGAATAGTTATTGCACGCAGTGTATTATTCGAACGGGCCGAATCGGGCGACTATATCGGATAGCTCCCATACGAGAGGTTAAAAAAAATTGGAAACCTATATCATATGGCTGCCATAGAAGATATATAAATAATGGGAAAAATATCATAACGTCGCTGAACCATATTTATTCCCACGAGCTGATTTTCAGAACACTGAGTTTTTTAATTCCCTTACGGGGCAAAACTAGTGTGACATTTTTTTCCTTTCATATTTCGGTAGATTACACCTTTAAAAATAACTTATTAAAAATCGATATCTCAGATAGTTTTTAAGTTAGAGCAACTCGGCTGCCCGAAGCTAGCTTTCGTTCTTGTTTTTTATCAGACAATCATGATTTTCACAATAGTGAGTTCTTTAACGACGATTGAATTAAGAAAAAATGCATAAAAAGCGGGCTAGTATATAATATTGAAATTTAGCAACTAAGTAATCTTAGAACAGCGATTAAAAATCGTTTCAAAATTTTTTTTGTCTACGTTTCAGAAACCTGGATCCAAAAAACTCATCGAACACGCAAACAAACGACTCTAAGGAAAGTTCAAACGATAAAAAGAAACCCCATATAAAGAAGCCATTGAATGCGTTTATGCTGTACATGAAGGAAATGCGTGCCAAAGTAGTTGCCGAATGTACACTGAAAGAATCAGCTGCTATTAATCAGATTTTGGGGAGACGGGTAAGAAATTCGTAACATAATATCCTTTGATATACTTATGCCAGAAGTAAGTTTGGGTCAGAGTTTTTTTTGCAAAAATAAATGTAAAACGAACTTTTGAAAAAAAGAATAAAAGAACTGACACATGGAACATAAAGAAACTAAAAATTTTGAATTACTCAATTATTCGATAAAGCATACATGAATTATTAAAACCACTTCTAATGGATTACCTTGTTATTAATAATACTTTTGTAGTGGCACGAACTTTCCCGCGAAGAACAAAGCAAATATTACGAAAAAGCTCGACAAGAGCGACAATTGCATATGGAATTGTATCCGGGGTGGAGCGCACGAGATAACTACGGTTACGTGTCAAAAAAGAAAAAGCGAAAAAAAGACAGATCGACAACGGATTCGGGAGGTACTGCACAAAATTCTAAAAATTTTACATTTTATTTTTATTGCATTTCACTTGTTTTTTATTTTATTATTACTGACACATATACAATTTAAAGCACACATCTTACATCAAGAACTAACATAGTAAAACTATAAATAACAGTAAACCAACAAAATACCTTTATGTAATTTGTGTAAATACTTGAACTATATTTAGATATTGCAAATTTCGGTAACTAACTAAATAAAGAGTCAAAAACACAAATCAATCTACACCTTGAAGATGTACGACTTTGCTTTTGTAGATTTGAAGATAGCCTAGATTGACAAGTTTAATCCTAGTTAGTCAATTTAAAACATAGTAACCACTAATATAAACACTCCTATGAATTGGGTTTCAAAACTAACCTTTTTCATTAAAAATTTTCAAATTTTTTAGCTATATTACCTGAAACTAAGATTTAAGTTCAAAAATTGCTAATTTTAGGGAAGTAATATGTAGAGCGTAATATCGACGCATTTCCGCGAATGTATCGTATGTAGAAAAATCACATTTTACAGGAGAAGCTTTTTCTTTATTTTTTTATTTCGGTATTTTTGTGCGATTGCAGTATTTCCATGCAATTGAAAAAAAATTTGTATGGACATACGATAATTTCGCGCGCACAATGTAACATCCGATAAAATTGTAACTTAATTTTTATCGGAACTAGAGGGCATTCAGTTATAATATTTCAGAGGGTAGTGGGACATTAGGTGCCTAACAATTCTGCATTAAAATCTCAATTTCGAAAAAAAGCGACATACGATACTTTCGCGGAAATGCGTCGATATGTTTTTGTAATTTTGTAAACGATCTAATAATTATTTGTTGGGTCAAAAACATGTAAATGTTTCATTTACTGAACCTGAGAATGGGGTATGAGCATCTTAATTATCGTTGCCTAATTAAATTCATGCCAATATGCCAAATCTTTGAACGCAATCGTCCTAAAATTTCAAATTACGAATATTTTTCAGAGGAGAGACAAACACACTCACGTACCCAAAACACAAACACAAATAACAGTAAATCTTGCTTACAGTTAATTAGCTTGTAACACTATAGCCCCCATAGTAAACATAAAAAATATCAATTTTTACATTTTACATTTTACATTTTGATTTTTTAATTAAAGGAGGTGTTGAAAGTCCCTTAATAATGTCTAAAACTTTTTTTCAATGTTTTGGTGGAAATGTTATTGGGAGTATACAAAAATGTCCTTTACTTTCCCAATTTGAATTATTTCCCATTTTATAAATTATAATGTAAGTTCAATTTTCCAATCTATTTGTATAATTTTAGTTTTTTCGTTTCAATCGAAATTAATTATATAGATACGTTTTAAAAATCCTTTTTACTTTACTTGGGGGCTTGTTGTTTGCAGTTAGCTGTGAGCTAGTTCATTCTAAAATAAATATTGGCAAAGGAAATTAAGTAAAAACTTAAAAAACTACTTAACAAAAACTTTCTTAAAAGTTTTCATTTTTAATCCTTTGTTTGCTTAAGAAATTGGCAAACTATAGTTATCCCTCTAAAACTGGGCATCTGAAACAGATTTGGCAAAAACATTATATACCTTAAAATTTTCATTTTAATCCTTGTTTGCTTCATTATCTGGCAAACGATTGTTAATACCTTTTCCGGACCTAAATCGGGCATCTGGAAAAGAATTGGCGAAAGCATGCGCCCGAAACCGTATTAAAGATCGATCAGTCCAAGCTTTTTAAATCTCGTAACAACACATAATTGTGCCTTTGGACTTGAAGAATTTTTACTTAGAGCTTGTGTTGGTCCTGCTGAGTTTGTGTTTAGACATTTTTCATTTTAGAATCAGTACAACTGTATCGCAAAAGAAGTAAAATGTGTTTCAAATCGAAAACTATAAAGACAAATTTTTGACAAACAATTTTTAAAAAAAGGTTTGTTTCTTTTCAGAATAGAGTGGTTTGATTTTTTGTAGCTGTTAGGACTAGCAATGGACTTTGTTTGTAAAAATAATTCATATTTGTATTATAATTTGAGTCAGAAGTGTGCAAGACTCTTGAGGAGACTTCTTGGGCCCCATAAAGTATATTTATTCTTGATACATACACTGCCCCGCAACTGAATAGGTTCATGATCTCAGAGGAAGTAATTTGTCTATAACTTCTAAACCAGGGTACCGATTTCCAAAATTTTTTTTTTCTTTAACTCTTGAATCATTTTATAATAAAATGCTGAAGAAGGTTTTTCAGAAACATATTATTTATTCCTTATTTAATTTATTCTTCTGAAAGGTTAACAAAATGCATGATTTTTTTTCGGTCATCTGAATAGGTTCAACCTAAAACAATTAAAATTATTTAAGTAACTAAGGATAATATTCATATTTTTTGAACTTAGCTGATACTTATGAACATTTTTAAAGTACATTTTACTAATTTTAATAAAAAGTGAACCTTCCGTTGTCCGATATAACATCATATACACGACCGGGAAGCGAGCTATACGAATTGTGCAGTATTTGCAGTGAAATTGTTGTCCAGGCTATTTTAATTGCCTTAACTAAAGTTTTTTTGCAATAAAATTACCTGCCTCCTTCATATATCTTGCGCGATAGCAACCCCCATACGATTTCGATTATATTAAGGTCAGGTGAATATGGGGGCCATTCAAGTAAATCCACATTTTGAGCCTTAATCCACTCTTTTACCACCCTAGCTGTATGATGGGAGCGTTATCGTACTGGTAAGACCATTTGATAAAGTGAAAAGTACTTAAATAATCAGGAAACGCAGCCTTTATGATAGATTTGTAGGTTTCCGCGCTCGTTTTATAAGTAACAAATTAAAGGTCGCAAGTGCCAAAGACTGATACCGACCCCCACACCATTACCCCACCCTCACAGCTATGACAACGGCTAAGGAAATGCTCTTCCTTTCGAAGATCGTGATAATAATAGTTGTAGCTATTGATTTACGCTTCTAAATTAAATTGATTTAGGTGTGGGAGTCGGTATCAGTCTTTGGCACTTGCGACCTTTAATTTGTTACTTATAAAACGAGCGCGGAAACCTACAAATCTATCATAAAGGCTGCGTTTCCTGATTATTTAAGTACTTTTCACTTTATCAAATGGTCTTACCAGTACGATAACGCTCCCATCATACAGCTAGGGTGGTAAAAGAGTGGATTAAGGCTCAAAATGTGGATTTACTTGAATGGCCCCCATATTCACCTGACCTTAATATAATCGAAATCGTATGGGGGTTGCTATCGCGCAAGATATATGAAGGAGGCAGGTAATTTTATTGCAAAAAAACTTTAGTTAAGGCAATTAAAATAGCCTGGACAACAATTTCACTGCAAATACTGCACAATTCGTATAGCTCGCTTCCCGGTCGTGTATATGATGTTATATCGGACAACGGAAGGTTCACTTTTTATTAAAATTAGTAAAATGTACTTTAAAAATGTTCATAAGTATCAGCTAAGTTCAAAAAATATGAATATTATCCTTAGTTACTTAAATAATTTTAATTGTTTTAGGTTGAACCTATTCAGATGACCGAAAAAAAATCATGCATTTTGTTAACCTTTCAGAAGAATAAATTAAATAAGGAATAAATAATATGTTTTTGAAAAACCTTCTTCAGCATTTTATTATAAAATGATTCAAGAGTTAAAGAAAAAAAAATTTTGGAAATCGGTACACTGGTTTAGAAGTTATAGACAAATTACTTCCTCTGAGATCATGAACCTATTCAGTTGCGGGGCAGTGTATGTACCTTTAATCGGAAGGGTCAAAAAATAATTGGGAACAAAACAACGATGTTAAAATTGTATTCCTTCAATTTGTTAGAGGTTCTTCTTTCTTTCCTATACAAAGGTCAAAGGTCAAAAGTATTTTCACAAAATAAAAGTGAAATATACTCGAAACTTTCTTCGTTTAACTTTTGGTATCAATGAAAAGGTAATTTAAATGCCCTTTGAATGATACCATACTTTTCTCAACTCATTCGATATTTATTTAAAAGTGGGAATTTTTGTGAAAATCTATTTTTTAAACCTTTTCCCTCGTCTTGAAAACTAAAATTTTGGATGCAAAAAGTTTCTTAAAACAAAAATAATAGTAATAGTAATAGTAATAGTAGTAAAATAATAGTAATAGCATTTAAATTACCTTTCCATTGATACCTAAAGTTAAACGAAGCAAGCTCAAATTACGAGTATATGTATTTAACTTTTTTCTGTGTAAATACTTTTGACCACCACTGTATCTGCTATATGGTAGAATAACCGTTTTTCTATCCGTTTCAATCGTAGTTAAAAAGTTGATTTTCCAAAAGCCATGCTTGTGTAATAAAAAAAAAATGACTACGATTGTTGTGGCGATAATTTGCTATATATTTTTCGACTTTTCCTATGTCTATATCATATAGTCATCCGATTTTTATTAAATATAAATATAAATTCATGAGTCCTAAGAAAACACCATCTGAAAAAACTATGTCAATCTTTCAACGTGGTGTTTTAGCTTGGGCCGGATCGGGCGACTATATCGAAAAGCTCCCATACGAGAGATAATAAAAAAATGATTACTCAAATTACTCAATTTTTGAAATACACATAGAGTTTTCTAATGACTTTTGAATTTCGAATTAATCATTTAGCTTTCATAGACAATCGTCGAAAATTTAGAAACTTCATAGAAAAATCGATTTAGTTCGAAATATTTGATGACTGCAAGGGTATATAAGCTTCGGCTTGCCCAAGCTAGCTTGCTTTCTTGTTATTAATGATATTCGAATGTTTTTTTTCCAAACGGTGTTTTCTAAGGACTTTTGAATATCATATTAATATTTGTTAAAATCGGATGACTAAATCATATAGCTGCCGGGGGAAAGATCTAAATTGAAACATCGTGGTTTTCATACCCTTGCAGAGCAAAGGTATTATAATTTCAGTCAGAAGTTTGCAACGCAGTGAACGAGACACCTCAGACCCCATAAAGTATATATATTCTTCATCAGCATCACAATCTGAATCGGAATACGTCTGTACGTCTGTCCGTTTGTCCGTCTGTCCGTCTGTCGGTTTCTATGTAAACTAGTCTCTCAGTTTTAAAGCAATCTTGCTGAAACTTTCCCAATAGTTGTGTGGTTATTGCACGCAGTATATAAGTCGGAACGGGCCGGATCGGCCGACTATACGAGAGAATGAAATAAAAAATTCTTCTGCCGTTGTTTTTGATCAGATCGACAGATGGCGTTTTCTAACTGCTATTGAATTTCGGATCAAATTTTTTCAAAATCGGTGGATCTATCATATTAGATCATTAGGAATTAGGAAAGTAAAAAAAAAAAGTATGTATAATTAATGGAAAAGAAATTTAACGTCGTTGTTTTTAATTCCACGAGCATGATTTTTGGAACATCAAGTTTTTTAACATCCTTAAATCGAGAAAAAAAATTTCATAAAAATCGGACTATCATATCATATAGCTGCCATAGGAAAGATCGAAAAATCTATATGGAAATAACGGAAATAAAATCAATTTTTTCCATCAGACAATCATGATTTTTGGAATAAAGAGTTTTCTAATGACTCTTGAGTTTCAAAGTAAATTTCATCAAAATCGTACGACTAAAACATGTAGCTGTCATATTAACAATAGTCGAAAATATGGAAAATGAATAAAAAAATCGTTATAGCTTATATACTTTATGGGGTCTGACGTGTCTCCTTCACTGCGTTGCAAACTTCTGACTGAAATTATATTACCCTTTGCTCTGCAAGGGTATAAAAACAGTCATAACTTCGATGTTTTTAGGAATCAATTCATTTTGCTCGACATTGAGCAGTTATTTCTGTTATGATCGAACCACTATATTAAAGTTTGGTAAACTGCAGATGAACTATATAGTAATATTCAACGCTAAAATTGTTTGGATCGAACTAACCAAGGAATCAATCGAAAAAATCTTGATACTATAGATATTTAATGAGTCCAGTCGGTTTCTAAATGTATGTTTCAACTGCAAGGGTATATAACCTTTGTTCGATCTTTTCTATGGCACCTTCATAAAAGATATAGTAATCCGATATTATGAAATGCATTTTATTTTTTCCCTTGTCTATTGTTAGTTCGATCCTTACAACGACAGCGACTAAGTTCACCAAATAGGTCTAGTTTGCCAGTTTTTTTTTTATTAATTTTCTCATTTCTGCGACAGTCTTACGATATAACAGTTCGTCTGAAAAGTTCTGTCCGTTTAAGATTCTGTTTTTCCAACGTACTATAGTTTCCTTCGATTACAGCGATACAGCGATTATAGCGATTAAAGCGATTGCAAATTTTCGATACCATATTTGTAGTACGATTTAAATTCGGAGGATGGGGAAGCAATTTGAAGGGCAATTCATTTAATTTGGCCACTGTTTTAATTGACTTGTGGCATGGTGCTTTGTTTTGGTGAAACAGCGCTTTTTTCTGCCTCTTCTGGAGATAGTCGATGAAAATTAGTTCGTGTGCATCCCAAAATGCAGAGGTCATTACCTTGCCAGTCGACTTTTGCGTTTTTCCACGTTTTGGATTGCGTTCGTCGCTTGCCGTCCATTCAGATTAATCCTGATTGGATTCCGGAGTGTAGTGATGGAGCCATGAATCATCCGTTGTCACTTCGGTATAATATGATTTGAATACAAGTAGCGCCCTCTCATAGAAATGGCCGTGTTTTCCAGCCGATGTGATAGTAATTTTATCCTTATTATATAAACTAACTTTTTAATATCTGTTGTCAGTACGAATGGCTTAATTCGAGCAAAATGTGTAATAATAGGTATTAAACTATTGTCGGAACGGAAATGCATGAATGACCAACAATATCGAGGCTATAACGATTTCTCTATTCATCTTCTGTACTTTCAACGGAAAAATGCTATACTGCATTTGTTGAAAAATATGCAAAAGTTCGATCAGGATCATCAGAAGAGTTAGATCTGTATGAGCATCGAGAAATTGTGATCTATTAGAGCTTGAATGTTAGGATTGCTTTTTTAAGTTGTCTAGTTTTATGACTCAATCAATTTTAACCGCATCACCTACAATTTTAAATATGTCTTTAAAAACCTATTGTACATTGAAATACGAAAGATTTTTTTATGTTACTTGGTTTATTTGGTATTGAAAGTTATTAAAGCTTTTTAGATTTTTTAACTTTTACTTTTTACGTTGGAAGTGCGGGATTTGGGCAAAAATTATTTTATCTTATAAAAACAAGCAAGCAAGTTAGCTTCGGCTCTATAAACTATATATGATATGATATGATATGATATATATATATCATCAAATATGACGAAAAAATACATAGAGGCTAAACAACATCGAAGCTATGCCGATGTCTTTATGCTTCTAAATTTCTGTTCTGTTTTTATGGTTCTAAGTTTCTAAATTTTCGACGATTGTTCATATGACAGCTATATGGTCGTTCGATTCTTAAGAAATTCAATTCGAAGTCCAAATGTCATTGAAAAACTCTTTATTCCAAAACTTATGCTTGTTCTATATAGATTTCTCGATCCTTTGCTATGGCAGCTGTTACACGACTCAAGGGTAGTTAAAAAATTGGATACTCTCATAATTTTTATATATAAGTATTTCTCCATTTTTTCTATGACAGCTATATGGTATAGTTATTCGATTTTGTTAAATTTAATTTAGGGTCTGAGCTGTTTCCTTCACTGCGTTGCAAACTTCTGATTTAAATTATAGTACCCTCTGCAAAGGTATAAAAAAAAAACATACTTTCTTCTTTAGCTGGTATTATAGTAGGTCAAGTAATCCATTATTTGAAGAATAGATGGCTCAGTTTTTGGCAAATCAGGACGAATGATTTTATGAGAAGGGTATCATGAAATTACCATCAAAATGGCAATCGATTGTAGGAAAAATGGTGCTTATTTGAAATAAATCGGTTAATTCTAACCCAAAAAAAGCCTTGAATTTCATGTACAAACAAACTTACTTTTTACTTGACCTATTATTATATAAAATGTGGAAAAAATACATTGGCTTTTCATAATTTAAAAATTACATAAGCTGCTTGATGGATGTGTTTATAATAAATTCTCATTTTTTAATCTTAATTTCCTGGTTAGTATTTCCTTAAGAAAATCTACAACAAGTCAATTTGTTCGTCCTCTAGAAGGGTTTGAAAGACTACATTTGATAAGTAGATTTTATTTGAATAATTGCATTGTATTTTTATGCGAATAAACCAATTAGGAAAGGATCTGCTGATTATGATTAAGAATTAATGGATTTAAGTCACGGACCATACATTATCATTGTCAAAAGGTGATAGCTTACGTACTTCAAATTCAAATTTTATTTGCAACCATCTGGCACGAAATATTATTAAATTGCGTACGACCCAAGGCTGTGAGGCAATATTCAATCCTCAATCCATTGGCATAAGCGATCTATCCTCCTTTTTGACCATCTGGTACCTAATGACGCATTTTAGAACTGAAAATAAGAAATTGAAGATGTAACAATCGTGTTGAAATTGTTATGTTCAAGCAAGGCTTTGAATTTGCTTGTTTATATCCCATCATTCCGAATAAATCTTGCATAATATCACTATATAATATGTTTTTCGCGGAAATTTATCCCACGCCCAGTGGCATGCCTTGGGGCGTGAGGAGCAGGCGAAGTATTACGAGTTGGCGCGAAGGGAGCGACAACTCCACATGCAAATGTATCCCGATTGGAGCTCTCGTACAAATGCCTCTCGGGGCAAGAAACGGAAGCGGAAGCAAGATACCAGCGACGGAGGTTAGATCAATTTTCTTAAAATATTCTACGACAAAAAAAAAACACAAAATCAGATTATATTGAACTTAAAATTAACAAGGACTACTATGCGAAAATTGATTACAACAAATGTAAAACACTTTTTGATTAATCTTAAATTCGTACATGTAAATATTTCGTTTTCGTTCAAACATGTATGATATATATGCTTTTAAACTCTGAATAAAATTCAACAAAATATTGGCAAGTCACCTGCGTAACCACTTCGGTATAAAAGAACTTAAAAGTCAACTAACTCGTTCTTGAATCATACAACAACAATTTTTATGTACCTACATACTATATACATTTTATGTACAGTACAGTATATATATCTTATCGAAATCGCTTATAAGTGGCATGAAATATTTTAAATCTAGTGCATGTTAAAAAGTCGTTAGTAGTTATATGTATATTTAAGTACATTTTCACTTAGAATATAGAACTCTGCATGCATTTTTATAGGTATTATTTTGTCAGAAAAACTATTACATAAGTATTGCATTTTTTGTTAAATAAGTTAAATGAAACATAACACCATTTTTCCAGTATTTTTTGCCATTATTATATTTCGTTTATTTAACGTGAAGGTATCCCTGTTCATTGTCATATTACCTACTAAACGATATATAGCTTATTAACAGAAAATTAACAATAAAGTTAATCATTTCATATGACATTATTAAACTTCCCGACTATCGTTTTCCCAGGTAATAATATGAAAAAGTGCCGAGCTCGATTTGGACTGGATCAGCAGAATCAATGGTGCAAGCCCTGCAGGTATGTTTCAGATTTTTCGGAGTCATCTTGGACTCAAATTGTTTTACAAACGTCATTACAAGGAACGTTACAAGATTTACGCAAACATTTTCCTTTCCAAAATGTTATAATATATATATATATATATATATAAATATAAATATATATAAAACCGCAAATATTCGTTTTAAGTATAATAAAGAACAAATTCAAAATTGGAACGGACAAGAATATGGCTCTACAATTTGTAGAATTGTGGCAAATAGTTAGTCATTAAAGAAAAAAATTAAAAATAAATAACCAAGTTGATTTATTAAACAACAGGCAACGAGAGGTTTTTGTTTTTAAATTTTAATTCTAATTTTATTTAAAAGTTAAAGAAAAATTAATTTTTAATAGGAAATACCCGAAAATCTTTATAAAACTCATTACCAAAAGTCGATAAAATAAAAAATTGGACGAATATTAGACATAGATGTAATAGAAAGAAAAATAGAAAAAATTAAATTAATAGACAAATCGCAATTACTTCAATGCTATTTTTACGCTAAGATTATTATTATTATTATTATTATTATTATTTTTTTTTTTTATATTTATTTACAATCTATCTAATTAAAGATAATAAGTAAATTATATGACATAGGTAATGACAGACAATTTTTGTTTTGATGGGGAATTTTTGTTTTTCAAAAGAATAATATTTTGATGCCCATATTGTGAGGTAAAAATGTCTTGCGTGAATTTTGTTGATTACTTTTTGAGGAATTCTTTTGCACATACTAGAATTATTATAAAACCGTTCACACACAAACATACACACACCAAAAAAATAAAAAAAGGTACTCCATTATTATTACTATGAAGTGATTAAGTACAAGTCGATCATAATTATAATATGCACGAATGCAACCTTATAGAAAATATTTTAATATCGTCGAATCCTATCAGACGCGAGCTTTTGTTTGTTTTATCTTTTAAATTAATTAATCTTCTGTTATTTAACCGTGGAGGAATATATACTAATACCGAAATCTAGATTTATATTATAAAACATAACCCCTATAAATGTTCAAACTTCTTTTTATTATTTTTTGTTCCTTATGAAGATAATTTGAAAACCTGAACAACTTTATTTAAACACAATCTCCTCGGAAAATGGACGTTTTTTAAAAACTATTTTGAGCAAGAAAAAGTTCAGGTAGACAAGTGGTGTTTTGTATATAACGAGGTATTTTAAAGTTATCAAAAAGTTTTTTTAAATTAAAATTTATTGTCCATTAAGAAATAGTCGGTCACCCTTTTTATACCAGTGCAGAGCAAAAGGGTATTATAATTTCAGTCAGAAGTTTGCAACGCAGTGAAGGCGACACCTCAGATCCCATAAAGTATATATATTCTTGATCAGCATCACCATCTGAATAGGAATACGTCTGTTCGTCTGTCCGTTTGTCCGTCTGTCCGTTTGTCTGTTTCTCTCCAAACTAGTCTCTCAGTTTTAAAGCTATCTTGCTTAAACTTTCCCAAAAGTTGTGCAGCTATTGCAGGCAGTATATAATTCGGAACGGGCCGGATCGGCCGACTATATCGGATAGCTCCCATACGAGAGAATGAAATAAAAAATTCTTACGCCGTTGTTTATGATCAGATCGACTCGATCATCTGAAAGAATCTTTTCTAACTACTACTACTTGAATCTCGGATTAAATTTTATCAAAATCGGACAATTCTATCATATAGCTGTCATAGGAAAGATAAAAAATAGGGGAATGTTGTCAGGGTTGGGCCATATTTTGACCTATGCCCATTAGTACTAAACGAGTGACAATTTAGAATAAGTTTGTACATATTTGGAAAGGTACAATAGAGAATTAAAAACTATTACGGCCCAATCCTGACTACAAAAGTGGTTAAATCCCACGAGCATTATTTTAAAAATATGGAGCTTTTTAATAAGCTTTGAATCGAGAAAAAATTTTATTAAAATCTGACAACGTTTTCATATAGCTGCCATAGGAAAGATCAAAAAATCTATATAGAAATAACGGATATATCGTTGTTTTTTATCATACAAGCATGATTTTTGGAATATAGAGTTGTGTAACGACTCTCGAATTACGAATGAAATTTGATCAAAATCGGACAACTATGTCATATAGCTGCCACATTAACAATAGTCAAAAATATGGAAAATTAGTAGAAAAATCGTCATAGCTTCGATGTTGTTTGAACTTTTTGTATTTCGTTCGACATATTTGATGACTGCAAGGGTATATAAGTTCCGGCTTGCCGAAGCTAGCTTCCTTTCTTAATTTGTTTATATTCGGCACATAGAAATTTTCAAAAAAAAAAAAATAGTATTGGTAGTTTATTTTGGTGCTGCTCCCAGATTTTGTACTCTTGCAGAGGATATAATAATTTTAACAAGAGGTTAGCAACGCAGTGAAGAAGACCCCCAGACCCCATCAAGTATATATATTCTTTATCGCCATCACTAGAAGTTTACTTCTGTCCGTTTGTCTGTTTTTATATTAACTAGTTTCTAAGTTTTCAAGGTAATGCTTGCAATAAATTGGTCGGAACGACTCGGATCGGGTGGCTTTATCGTAAAGCTCCAATAGGAGAGATTAAAAAAAATAACTTCCTTGTTTTTAAAATTTTTTAAGACGATTGTATGAAAATTTTTGTTTATAAAAATTAAACTACTTATAAAAAAAGATAAACAAAAATTTATATAAAAATGTATATAAAAATAATGGTTGAAAATTATAGTATCCTTGTTTATTATCATATCATTTATTGATTTGTAGAATAAAGATTTTTTTAAAGATTCATGAAATCCAAATTAATGTGATAGGCTTTTTTTTTTTTTGGGATTTTTTTCTCAGAAAAAATAAATCAATATTTTTAATAAAAGAATTTTTTTCAAAAATTTATTATTTCAAAATTTATTATTTTGTATTTTTTTTTAAGTGATATGGTTTTAAATTAATGTAGGGTCATCGGCCGGACAAGGGCTCCTGCAAAAATGATAGCTATAGAAGTACGTACGACTTTTTCTATGTATAATTTTTGGTCAAATGGCGCACTTCCAAAGCGAAAAGTGCTAAATTTAAAATTAAAAAGAATCCTAGTACTTCCATAGATAATGTTATTTTTAAGATGTATTCCAAACTCAAAGTTAATCGGCTGAACATTGACTGAGTTATTTGTCCGGCCAACTTAAAAACGCAGTTTTCATACGACAGCCAGACAGCACTATTCTTGAATTTAGAGTACTTAGAAATTTTTCCAAGCCACAAATATTATACCCTTGCAGAGGGTATTATAATTTCAGTCAGAAGTTTGCAACGCAGTCAAAGAGACACCTCAGACCCCATAAAGTATTATATATTCTTGATCAGCATCACGGTATGAATCGATTTATTTCTGAATGAATTTCTCTCTTGTTTTGGATTAGGGCTATTTTCAAAAAATCTAGTTAGTTAGTTTTGAAATAAAAATCATAAAAATCGGACGATGATATCAAATATGAAAAATAAATAATAATGGAAATAATAGAAATTATCACACCTCCTTTTACGACCACGAGAGTCTTGGGCGTTTCAGCTCCGATGTCTGATGATTATTTTGATACATATTGAAATTTATCTGAGTATATGTATCTGGTAGTCAGCGAACTTGAGCACTTAAAGTCCCCATAACAAATGCATTTAAAGATATATTTTTAAAATATATTTTCGAGATATCGATAATCCGATCCGATAATTCACTATCATAAGCGGATGTTTTACATCTCGGCTGAAAGCTAAAATTTTTGTATCGGCCATCGATATCGGTTTGTACAACGTGTGTTTTTTACTTTGAGCTTCCATGTAAATAACGTCTACATTGACATTACATTACATTAAATAATGTAAGTGTGTATGAGTGCGATTCGTTTAGAATGATGGTGTTTTTTTGGTTTTACACTTCCCTTTTTTAATTTTATGACCCAACCTGAGAGACCAAATTAATTTTTGTAATGTTTTTGCGATTGAAGCACCGTTGCGAAAAAACATGACATAGGGATCGGGCTGCAAAAAGTAATATTTTCATTTAAAGTAAAAAGATTTAAACACATTTACACTAATTCTAGTGCAGAATAATCTTTTGTTTTTTCTGATATCTTCTTAATGTCTGTTGGTTAATCATATTAATATTCGACTTTTTATTGACTCTCACCTTGACCAATAATAAGTCCCAATCTGGGTGTCATTTCATCCGTAAGCAACAATGGAAGCAGCGTTGGCATCACCAGTAGTTCGGCAGTCAACAGCATTGGTGTTGGCATGCTGACACCCATTGTAAGTGGCCTCGGGGGTACGGTAATGTTGCCCAACTCGTCATCCTCGTCCTCCTCATCATCATCCACCTCGTCTTCTCATACACATGTACAAATGATGTCTACCAGTAATGGAAGCGCAGTAGCATCTTTAAACGGCATAACAGTCTCGGCCGGAGGAGGTGGTGGCTCAGCAGGCACAAATCTACAACAGCTGTCCCCTCAGGCACCACCGACTTATGTCAATTTGTAGACATCCAGACAATTGAAAGCAGCGCCGAAATATATAAATCTGACGATCCAGGAATCAATAAAGTGAACAAGTTCTGACGAGTCTTTGCATCTTAAAGTTGCTTCAACAATCAAACCAGTAAATAAACATTCAAACATTTCAAGTCAATGCATATCAGGGCTTATAAACTAGTTCCTGTTCCTGTATAGAGTACCTTGTGGCACTATATACATTTACTTATTGCATGAAAAATATTTATTATTTTGTTTGTTGGCTAAAAAATGATAACAGAGTTAAAACAATGAAAACTATTTACAAATAACAAAAACCTCAACGCCCACGAAGGAGGTGTTGGCTGCTTATGCTAAGGACAAGCTTTTCTTTTCGACACACAAGGCAGTAGGATAAACACGAACCCACATATGACCTTGAGTTCTGAGAGCACTGAAAAAAACAAGCTACAAATTCCGTTTATATGTTTTACACCGTGCTGTCTCGTTATACCGTCTTAGATACTATAGTTTTCAAGGCTATGCGAATGTAGATGTAGAAACAATTTATATTTTCTTTTACAGTTTGAGATAAATGGTGTTTTTTTCGAGGTGTAGAACTTTAAGGTGGCATTACTGCTCAAGATGGCGATCGATTTTCGCATATTCGCAGTTTGCAAGCCGTGACAGTCTGTTGCCAGAAATCATATTTAAAGTGTAATGCCACAAGATTGTCCTTCGACTAGATATACCTCTAAAAAAACTACCGTCATAAACCAAAGATTGCTTTTAGAATTTAACATCAGGGTATCGAGGATGTAAAATTTATATATTTTACCCAAACTCATACAATTTGTAAATTCAGGTTTTTTTCCAATAAAAAACATTGATATATTCGTACATAACACAACACTTATAGTTATCACATAAGTGAGTTATTATTAAATAAGAAATAATTAAATAATTATAATTAATAATTAAAATAAACAACCAGTACATTAATTTGTGGGTCAACATATAAATTTATAAAGCACTTAATTATTTGCAGTAGTTGAATGTAATTAAGCCTACATTTAATCAAAACTAACATAATTGACTTTCTTTTATCAAAACGTCTGTTTACATGAAAAGTCGTGGCCCCAAATATATTTCCACATTAGTACATAAGTCGGCAAGTTACAAGGAAAAGTTTTAATAATTTTTAAGAGTACTTGTACCTGCTGTACTTTATGCAATGCGGAATTATATTACCTGTAAAAATACCAGACAGTATATTTGTAGAATTTTCAGCTGCTGTTTTTGTTGCCTATTATTGTTTTGACTGCTAGGTAATATTGTGTTTGTGGACGGAGAACAGCTAGGACTTAAAAAAGATACAATGTTAAACACAATAGAACTCAATGCCGACCTTATTTACAAATAATCCTGCAATCCCCCAATTAAACTACCTTGTTTTAGGCTTATTATTGACAAGTTTAAATTTCCATCATAATAAGAAGTATTTGACGTGTCGTACTTTTGTTTGATACATGTAAAATACATTAAAAAAAAATGTTTGAACGCTCTAAAAAGTCCATACCATAAAAGAGTATTGCCATTTTAATAAAATAAAATCACGCTTTTCCAAAAATATTTAATTTAAAAAATTAAATTATCTTCTTTTTTTAATGTGTTATGAATTAGAAACGATAACAAAGGATGGTGATTGCAGGTGCGAAGTGGGTTCTAAATGTAGGGGATTTTTTATATTTTTGGTATTGGTACCTTTTTTTCAAGTGAATGTCATTTTTTTTTTTTTTTTTTGTGAGAGGCATTTTTTGCTTTTTGCGGTCATGGCTCCTCTTCCATTGGAGGATTGGGCTTTGGTTTCGATATCATAACCATATACCCATGGCACGTCACTAGTTATGGTCCGATTGAGTATATCTGCGATAAACCGACATCCTTAGCAATTTCTTTGATAGCCATGCGACGATTATCCAAAACTATTTTCTTTACTCCATTAAAGTATTCATCAGTTGTTGACTCAATTTGGCGTCCAGAGCGAAGCTCATCATTGGTATCTTTCCGGTCATCTTGGAAGAATTTGTTTCACTTGTAAACATTTTTTTTTACTTAGAACAGTTTCACCGTATACCACTGTCAACAATGTGCTACGGAACACTTCATTTTCTTTTTTACACAACATTTGGTGTAAATTCTTTAACCATATGTTTCGGTATTAAAAAAGAGTATGTAAAACACTTATAACCATCACGCCTCTCACAACCAAACAAAAAAAATACCATAAGGCTATATTTGTTTTTTTTTTTCAGCGAAATGAGTAATTTTATTTTACTGAGCTTAATTACATGTTATATTTAAAAATAATCCTGTGGCTTTTAATCTTCCGAAGCGCCTAAAAAAAAAAGTTGTTTTGTGGTGAACATCATAACTCGTTAACGGATCATTAAAAAAAAAAAAGTGATATGCGCTGTCGAGATAATGAATTTCTCGAGGTAATCAGGAAGAGTGTTTTTAATATTTTTTTTGTCTATTTTTGGGAGCATTTGAAAGTGAAAAGTGTGATTTTAGCTCAAAAAAATCGGTGTTAATTTATTACTTAAAAATAGAAAAAAATTTAAAAAAACTCTTCCCGATTACCTGCGTATTTATGTGGAGAATTTGTGTTAAAAATTTGAAAAAATATCGGTTTAGTAGATTTTGAGTTCTGATGTTCACCGGCTTTCAAAATAACGTTTAAAGTATTTTTATACGTATTTTTATAAAAAATATTTTTATACGGATTTAAAGTATTTTTATACGTCAAAATAGGCCAAATTCGGTAGTTTAAAACGCTGTAACTTCGTTGGTTTGACTCTATTTGACTCAAAATTTGTACACAATGTCCTCGTCAAATTGTCTTAAAAATAAAAAAAAAATAGTTAAAACCTTACCCCCGCCCTTAACGACTCTCTCAATGAGAAATACAAAATCGGCAATGCATAATAATGCATCAATGCAATTAATAAATAGACTTACAAAGATGCAATTTATTATTACATCAATTACACTTTAAAATAATTGTATATTTTTGGGCAGTTTTATTGTATAGTTAATTTTTTTATTTTTTTAGTAATGTGTATTAATGTGTTCTACCCAAAAGTTTCAATATCTTAATGTTTAATGCTTTAAAGTAAATTTTGCTTTACTTTCTGTAAATCAGAACTGCAAAGTGTGCTAACAAAGTTAATGTTTAATTAAAAACATAAAGTTGTTGATCCGATATTTGTTTACAGTTACCCTATATATTATATTATATTAAAAACGCAGTCATTATAGTATTCATCTCATATAAATGTGGATCATACATCATTATTTTGGAACCGGAAAACCCAACCATTTTTGTTCTGTCAGATTTTCTTGCGATTTTTTAAACTTAATTGTGTTTGCCGCAGGTGTTTATTTAAAATACCAAATATTGAGTGAGTTATAAATTTATCCAATAGTTAACTCCTACAACGAAGATTTAAAAATCGTAAATCCAGAGTTGTTATTGGAATTAAACCATTTATAATATATGAAAATAAATTCTTGATTACAATACATATATAAGTTGAGTTAAGCTTTTATCCCTGTTTAAATATATATTAATAATTTATAAAATTAAACCTTTTCTCGCCAAATCTCGCCAACGAAAATTAACTAATTCCAGCAAATAATTGTAGAGTGAATGATGAGTGCGAATTATTTAAGTTGTGTGGCGTTTATGTTATTAGGTTAGCACAAGCAGATTATAGTTAAAAAAATATTCTCAACAATTTTTTAATTGTCTTGGTGTAAACATATATTTGCTGCGAGTAATATCTTGTTGTTATTTTATGTTGTCGTTGAATTACTGAAATACTGTACAAATGTTTGGCAGTTTAAATTATTAATATTTTTATATCAAATTTTATTTACTGGTTTCATTTATTTCTTGAATTGTAGGATTTTATATATACCTTATATAAAGACAAGACAGATTTGATAATTTTAACAGGAAGTAAAGCTTATAGTCCATATATATTACTTAAATTCTGGTATTCAAATTTACGCGTCCTGTTCTTATCAAATTAATTTGTGTAAATGTAAAATGTAATTTTAAAATGTTTTATTTCCTAGCCCATAATGTGTTATTCATCAGTGTGGTACTATAAAACATTTCTGTCCTCAAAGAGTAATAACTGATAAAAATATGGAACAGTAAAATGCTCTACTTTCAACTAAAAAGTGTAAAAAATACAACTTATTGTTGTTTTTTTTAGGAACTTTAGTAAACTTAGATATTTTAGTAAGCGCACACACACGTGATGTTTCCTTCGCAGCCAAACTTGAACTGCCTCTTTATTGAAGATCCTCTTCCTTCATGCTCTCTCGTGAGAGTGAGCATAGTGTTGTATAATACTAAAATCTAATATTGCACAGTGTTGCTTAGGACTAACTTACTACTACAATACCTATTATGAATGTTTTTAATCTGGACATATATGTTTCTATCTTCAAACATTTTTGAAATGCCGACGATTCCCACGACGCAAAAAATTTGTACAAATTGTAAACAGAAGAAAAGGCTATAGAGCTAAAAATAATTGATTTATTTTGATAGATTCTGGAATTGAAGAAATAAATAGGCATGATTTTATTAAAATATTACATAGCTTTAATTTTGTGTTGATCTGTTTGTGAATTGAAAGGTTTGAACATTTGCTGCATGATTTATTATTTTTCTTGTATGTATACGGAATGATTAAATACTTGCACTTCTTGTTGTTTAAACTAAAAATGTTAATTACTTAACTTACATTTTTTATTTCTTATTTTACACAGACGCAAAAAAAAATGCATTCGTTATATGGAAGCGTTGCATGAAAATGGGCCCACCGAGGATGGGAGTGGCATTGATGAACACGGAAGCCAATTGAGTGATGACGACGATGACTACGACGATGACAAACTGGGCGGAAGTTGCGGAAGTGCCGACGAAACTAACAAAATAGTGGACGACGACACAGAGTCGCTAAATCAATCGATGTCAAGCCCAGGATGTCTCAGCGGATTATCCAGTTTACAGAGCCCAGCCACGACCATGAGTGTGGCCAGCCCACTTCATATGAACAACCCTCCAGCAAATAGTGTTTTATTTCCTGCCACCTCAAATGTGCTCTGTGCGGACACCACACAACAACGATCCACATCTGTTTCCACGGCAGGATCCAGTAGTGGATCGACGAGCAGCATAAGCACCACCTCAAATACCTCAAGTGCAGTTTCGCCAGTCACAGGTACGACGGCCCAGGCTTTAAGTTCGGCTCACGAACGAGCCATGATGCTGGGAAATCGGTTTAGCCACTTAGGAATGGGCCTAAGCCCCCCGGTTATTAGCACAGGTATTAATAAGCCTGAACCATTTTTCCAGTCGTACACCGCAGTCGGTAACAATGCTATTTTTTCATTGCCATCGATTGGTAACACTAATTTAAACAATTCCTCAATGCCAAACACTTCCCGAAACCCCATTGGTGCTAATCCACGGGATGTCAATAATCCACTAAGCATCAATCAGTTAACAAAGAGACGTGATTATCAGAACGTTGAAGTAGTTGAATCCAGTGACTCTAAAACAGTTGTTGCTCACTCTGCCACGTCCATAATTCACCATGTGGCAGCCCACAATTACCATGCAAATCAGTCCTTTTTAAATAGCACCTTTAGCCAGCATTTCCACCAGCAGTTAACTAACCACATGGAGACCGCTAAAAGAAATGAGACAACCGTTATGTCTGTTAACAGCAGTGAATGCCATAAAGCATCTGATTCACAGGCAAATGCATCTAGTAAGACTCCGAGCGCAGGCGCTTCCGAATCTGGCGTGATAAGCGTTTCTTAACAGATCGCAGTGGATTATTACCTTCATTGTTCGTAATTGTGTGAGAAAATGATAAAAATTAAATTTTTTATTTATAACTTTTTGTGAATATAAATAAAAGTGCAATAAAAATTATTCTCATCGCCATCTTCTGAAACAAGATGCCATTAAAATACTAGTGCCAAGACTTAAACGCAATATTTCTTTTTGTAACTAGTTAAGTCTATACAGATAATTAAACAATATAATTTTTCGAAAAAACAAATCGTTTACAATTCAATGGAGATACACTTTAAATTTTTGCATAGACACAACTGATAAATATTCCAAGCTAGGAAATGCCAAATTTATCACTTAACAAACAAACAGTATGTGCACATTGAATCTAGCAAATAATAGTGGGAACATGACATATTGGTTTTTTTTTTTTAATTTAATTTTGATTGTTAATGGGAAATGTATTAACAACGCGTTGTTGGTTTCTAAATTCGAACAAATTTGTATTTTTAACTATGTAATTATTGATATTCTTCCATTAGATTTACCATACACATACTGACACAAGTTTTCTTAGTTTTCTTATATCCGATATTCTTCCATTAGATTTACTAATATGTATTTGGAAATGAACCCTACACACACTGACACAAGTTTTCTTAGTTCTTTTATACCCGTTACTCGTAGAGTCAAAGAAAGATTGATTGAAACGAATCTATCAAGCTATGTCTATCTGTCTGTCTCATTGTTCGTCTGTACAAACGTCGAGATCTCTGGAACTATATGATACAGAATATTGAGATTAGGTATGCAGATTATATTATATTATACCTAGTTGTTCGTACGTAAGTTGTCTAGTGCCACGCCAAAAAAAACTGCGAATTTTCATAAAATTAATATTGTATTTAGATTCTACTTATAAATACGCAGCTAACGAGTATTCAAAAGTTTGCAACGTCGTTATCTTAGAAACTATATGTTGAATATTGAACATGAACATACAGGTTCTAAGGATGACAGAAAGATTTCTCCAGAGTTGCCAAGTTGAGTAACGGGTTTCCGGTCCTTTTCCTCCATTTTATATTCTCAGAAAAAGCTCCGTGTTTTATAACGCTAATCAATTATTTCATTTAATGGGAAAATAAGTTTGGAAATTATTATATTCAGTAAGGCAATCCTAGCTCCATAAATAATCATTTTCTATTTTAAAGACCCACCTTTGAATAAGGTTTTATTACAAAGCAAAGAGTTCAATCGCGTTTATGTAATATTCTGAACTAAATTTGGAAATCATAAGAATTTATTAATTATTTTAAGTGAAATTATAAAAAATATTTATATATATATTTTATATATTTATAAAAAAAACAAAAATGTTTATAGGAAACTTTACATAAAAATTACTGATAAAGCATACGAATTTATTGACCATAAGACCTGATAGCTACTATTCCATAAAATGTAATAATTCTAACGACACATGCATATTTCATGTTTGCTTTCTGGTATTTAATTTTAGCCGATGTTTAAAAAGTTACTTTGCGCAGAAAACCCTTCTAATCAACTTTATTATTTATACTAGTCTTCATTCAGTTATTAAACGTTTAATGGTTTAATTAGTGAACAAATATTTTTTTAAACATTGATTATAATATGTACTATATGAAAGTGTGTGTGAAACATTTTTAAAAATTTGTCTTACTAAAAAGTTTTAATGTGGCATAATTTGTACTTGTACATTTGTACTTAAAATGCATATCCCTATTTGTGTAAAAAAGATACATATGCCAATCCTATAAACGGATTTAGTTGATATATGCTAACACGAATTATCACTAGAGCCTTATGTAAATCCGAGGCATGTAAAGCGTATTGCAGAATAAATACAGATTTTTTGTAAGTTATTCGTTCAAATTCATACAGAATTAAGGGTCTTTCAACATAAAGTATTGACAAATTGAAAAATTATATTGCGAGTTGCAATCGACAAAACAGAACAGGAGTTGTGAAGTCGAAAAACAACTTTTTAAATGAGTATTATAACATTTTTAAAACGTCTATCCCCTAAGAAATAAATCAATTCTTCATGAAAATCATCATTGAGGGTCGAGGGTTAGAGAACTATAAGAGACTTAAGGTAAAACTTTTATATGAAAAATTCTTGATTTAAACTTTGACCTTTGATCGACCCAGATTTTTGTGAAAGTTTTTTTTTATTAAAAGTACGTAAAGTAAGCCCTTTATTTACTGCAAGAAAGCAAACTAATTTATGTTTTTGGTCTCTTATTAACCTTTATAATAAATTGTAGCTAAACAAATACACAATACACATACACAATATTTTGTTATGGTCTTTTATCTATTTCCCAACATTGTATTTTTTATTTTAAAACGATAATTTCTATAAAATATTTGTAAATAACGATAAATAGCACAAATTTGTTTATTTGTTGATTGTGCGGCTTTAAAAATATGCTTTTAAATATCAAATCAAACAAGAAAGGAAGCTAGCTTCGGCAAGCCGAAGCTTATATACCCTTGCAGTCATCAAATATGTCGAACAAAATGCATAAGGGTTAAACAACATCGAAGCTAAGACGATTTTTCTATTCATTTTCAATATTTTCGAGCTATATGATATAGTTGTCCGATTTTGATCAAATTTAATTCGTAATTCAAGAGTCGTACTTGTCTGATGAAAAACCAAGATGTTATAAATTTATTTCCATTAATTCTATATATATTTTTCGATCTCTTCTATGGCAGCTATATGATAGAGTTATCCGATTTTGATCAAATTTAATCCGAAATTCAATAACAGTTAGAAAACGCCATCTTGAAGAATTCAAGTCGATCTGATCAAAAACAACGGCGTGAGAATTTTTTATTTCATTCTCTCGTATGGGAGCTATCCGATATAGTCGGCCGATCCGGCCCGTTCCGACTTATATACTGCGTGCAATAACTACACACCTTTTGGAAAAGTTTCAGTAAGATAGCTTTAAAACTGAGAGACTAGTTTGAAGAGAAACAGACAGACGAACAGACGGACAGACGTATTCTCATTCTACTCGTGATGCTGATCAAGAATATATATACTTTATGGGGTCTGAGGTGTCTCCTTCACTGCGTTGCAAACTTCTGACTGAAATTATAATACCCTTTTGCTCTGCAAGGGTATAAAAAGTTCATCTTCCAGGAATTACAAATTATAACACACTCTGTGCTGCTAAAGAAAACAACCGAAGCTTTTCAAAAAAGTTATTACTATTTTAAAAATTTGACGAACAAATTTCTAACTCGACAAATCTATAGTTCCAAGATTTTTCCCAATTGTAAGTCCGATCCGTTGCACGTAAGCAGGGTTTACTGTTTCGTTCTTCTCTTTTTGTGTCCAAATCGGGGTTTTTTTTTAAATTTTAATCGTATATCTTTATTCTTCTTTTAATAGTATTCAACCTTTTGCCTGAGCTTCCGAGAGAAAGCTTTATGCCTCAGAGACTAGTTTTATTAGAAGCATTTAGATGTTGATCAAGAATATTTGAACTTTATGAGGCCAGAGTAACTTATTCCCCGTGTTGCAAATTTCTGATGAATTCTGACTTAAATTATAATTTCCTCTACAAGAGAATAAAAACAGGATTATTTAATAAGAATACTAAAAAAATATATATTTATATAGGGTCGGAACGGTCTTGTTTCTCGAATAAAGAGTTTTAAAAATTATTCTTTTAAAAAACACGCCCATGTTTTTTAAATTTACAATAAAAAATTTTGATTTTGGTCAAATTCACCCAATTTCTTCTGAACAAACCTTTTAAGAAACAAAAAAGGAAGTAATACACCCTTGCGGTTAGAACTTTAATGTGGAAAACGACTTTTTTATATCCTTGCAGATGCGAATTATAATTTTAGTCAGAAGTCTGCAACGCAGTGAAGGCGACACCTCAGACCCCATAAAGTATATATATTATTGATCATCATCACGATCAGAATCAAAATACGTCTGTCCGTCGTCCGTCTGTCCTGCAGTCTGTTTTTATGTAAATCGGATTACTATATAATATTGCTGCCATAGGAAATATCGAAAAATACAATAATGGTAAAATACAATAACGTCGTTGTTGGAAAAGGAAAGGAAAAAATATTAGAACACCATTGATTTTCATCAGATAAGCATCACTTTTGGAATATAGAGTTTTCTAATGACTCTTGAATTTCGATTTAAATTTCATAAAAATCGGGCCACAAAATCATATGAACAATAGTCGAAAATATATAGAACAATTGACATATTTGATGACTGGAAGGGTATATCAGCTTCGGCTTGCCGAATCTAGCTTCCTTTCGTGTTTTCCTATTCTTTCATTTTGTTAGTCATTTACTTTAATAATAATAAAATGCAATTTCTTTTTTTATTTTCGATCGACTATAAAGTTTATCTGCATATATATATATATATATATATATATATATATTTATATATATACCCGTCGAAACTAAACCAAAGTTACTTCATTTGCGCCCCAAAAACGATTTTGTTTGAAAAGAGATAGATTCCCACAAAAATTATATTCTACATTCTACATTATATTCTACATTGACTTGTATTTGTGCTTACCAGAAGGACTTGTTAAATCTTTTCATAACTCCGTATTAACCACATTATAAATTTATCAATCCAAGTATGATTGTTTGATGGGTTTATTTTCACGAAATTTACTTGCAAAATTTAAATATTACCTTTTTTAAAGAGCTCCTATTTCTTTATTAATTATTACTACTTGCAATAATTGACATTTTTTACTTCATCCGCAACATTTATTTATTTAATTTAAACTTTTTAAAATATCAAACTTTTCAATTAAAAGACTATTAATAAAGCATTATAAAATGTAATTTTGCTTCTGAAACTTAAATTAGTTGAATAAAATGTAAGGATAAAGTATACGGAAAAACGCAAGGTCGGAATTTTTTAGGATATATTGCTGTGATAAACTAAATGCCGATTTATGTAGGGCTCTAGTCACATGTATATATATGTACATATGTATGTATACATAGCATAACAAGAATATATATAAAATAAAAGAGCTCAATCACAAACACGTATAAGATTAAAAACTCTGTGTTACAATAGTTGGTGGTCTTTTTATATAAACAAAACAGTATATTTACAATATAAACAAAGCATTGTACATATACATGCTAATTTAAAAGACTGCTGAACGCATATTATATATGTTTTACTCGGAAAATGTTTAAATGAATACAATCTTAGTACTTTATATATATCGATTGAAACCAATTTTCTTTGCCTATAAGATATAATTATAATTTGCAATTCGTTTAAATTTTAGTTTGAATCAACTTAAAAAAGGTTTCGTGCTTCCATTTTCTGTGGTATTGAACTTCTGTTTTTGCTAAATCAATTTTCATATTTATCTTGAAATCATCTTTTTGTAACACATATAAAATTTCTTGATATTTGTTTCTAGCTAATTTTATTATAGTAAAATACTGTGTAACTTGTATTTAAAAACCAACAAAAACTGGTAGGAACTTTATAAGAAAACCCTTCGTTCACTAGCTGTACCTACTTTATTAAAGGGGTCTTACAACGAATACTATAATTATTTTGTACATATATTTTAGTTAGGTATTTTATTTATGCTATTTGATGATTGAAAGTAATGATTATTTAAGCGTTTCAGACTTGTTATAAGTTATCGGTCGACTGATAGGATCGTTACCTAAGCTAAACTCCAGATAGTAGCAAGGGTTATTAATATTATAAAACATACTATTAACTAAATGTTATGACATAAGAAAGTAAACATATAATAACTAGAAATAAGTTTATAGCATTCATATACTAGTTTAAGTTACTAAAGTTTAAAATAGGAAATAATTTATGTGCGAAATGTAGAAATAATGTATACATATATATAATAAAAAGAAATAATGTTGAAAGTATTAAAACCTTTTCATTGCTTAAGGAAATTGTGGACTCGTGTAACGGCTAATTTTGTCTAGGAAACTGTCCAATTAAAACTTTAAACCCTTGCTCAGCTCAGTTTATCCTAATTATATTCAGAAGTTTGCAACGCAGTGAAGGCGACACCTCAGACCCAATAAAATACATATATACATATATTCCCTCCTTGTCGACAGCATATACTTCGTCTTGCCCTCGTTTACCGCCAAACCCACTTTTGCGGACTCTTTTTCGATAGCCGAAAATGCAGCAGTGACATCACGCTTGCTGCGGCCAATGATGTCAATATCATCGGCATACGCAAGGAGCTGGACACTTTTATAAAAAATAGTGCCAGATCGATGTACACCGGCTTTCCGCAGTACCCCTTCCATCTCGAAATTGAAGAGGTCGCACGACAGGTGGTCGCCTTGTCTGAAGCCTCGAACGGTATTAAAAGGTTCGGAGAGGTTCGTTCCTACCTTGGCAGAGCTGATGGTGCTGCTCAATGTCATTCTGCAAAGACGTATTAGCTTTGCAGGAATACCGAACGCAGACATGGTGGCATATAGGCGTTCCCTCGCCGGGCTATCGAATGCAGCTTTATAATCGACAAAGAGATGGTGTGTGTCGATGTTATTCTCGTGGGTTTTTTCCCGGATTTGGCGTAATGTGAAGATCTGGTCTATGGTGGACTTACCAGGTCTGAAGCCGCACTGATAAGGTCCAATCAGTGTGCTGGTATACGGCTTCAGTCGTTCACATGCGTAATATGTGAATTTTTGTTCTTCCATAAATCCGGGCGTTTCTGGCGAATTGCTTCGCGCAAATTGCGCATAACTTGCAGGTAATATTCCTTATTGACCGTTCTTCCCTGTGGCAAGAACTCATGATGCACCTCGCCCCTGCAATCGAAGAAACTGTCAGCAAAACTTTCACATTCGACCGAACTTGGCGCGCTTTTTTCGGTCTTGGTTCGTGCGGCAGCTTCCATTGAGATGATTGAGCTTTGGTTTCCACGTCGTAACCATAAACCCACGTCACCAGTTATGACCATCTGGAGCAAATTTGGGTCGTCGCGGACACAGTTTAACATCTCATTAGCAATGTTCATGCGATGCTGTTTTTAGTCGCAATTGAGCAATTTTGGTACGAATTTCGCGGCGACCCGAAGGAAGGAGTTCGGGCATCGCCCTCGGAATCTGGTTTATATCTAGCCCGTACGTCATGGCTCCACTTGTTCTCCACACTCCACTCTCTCACTTGCTTAGCGATTTTGGCATAATCCTGTCCGGACTTGCCATTTTCTGCTCGTTCGTGGCTGTTGCTCTTCCTCTCCCTGCTGTACTTCCGTCGGTCGCGGCTGCATGCTGCTCACGTCCAGGCTGCGCACCAGGCCCTCGGCTCATGTGACTTTTAGGCCGACCGACGGGTACTTGGCGTAATCCCTTTCCAGGGCCGCCAGAATTGCCAGCGCATCAGGATCATGCTCGGAATGGTCGATAAATTCGGCCAGCGTCCTTCTCATTTCCTCTACAAGGCCCTCTAGCTCGATGCCTAGGGCCCTTGCGATCGCCGGGAAATCGTCCTTTTTAAGGTTATACAACCATGACTTCCCCATTCTAAATCTAAAACATTTCTTAAATAAGTACAACATATTCAATCCTAACCGAAAATTAATAATTTTATTATTGACCTTTATTAAAGTCCAAATAAATACAAAATACATAGTACACTTTTTAAAGAAATAATTGTATTATTTCCTTTAAATAACATTTGTTTGTAATTAATTGACGCATCATCGTTTTCTGAAAATAAAATGTACATTAACAAGATGTTAAGTATTATTTGTATTATGTATTTTAATTTAACTGATTAAAGAAGTGGATCCAGTGTGTCCATTCGCTGCGGTTATATGTTTGGGGATGTATCATTATTTTTATTCAGGGTTTGACCGCTTAGTGCACAATCCATTCGGGGGTGACTGCGCCGCAGAACAGGATTTATCTATGTGTTTTAAAAATTACATTTATAACAATAATACTTTTTGGGCGAGTTTGTAGGCATACCATTGGTGAAAGTCATCTTTGGAAGGCTCTGCTGTGGCGTCTGGAAGCATCATGAATGGCTCGTCAGAATAAACTAATATTTGAATTCTCTCCGTGACCAGATTTCTTTCCAATTCATCAGTGACAAAGCGTATATCATGAATGAACTTTTCTACAACATCAGCGCGACCAATCCTGTCAAGGGCTTCAGATATAACATTTCCACTGGAAGTAGCTCCCTGCTCTAGCCATAGCTGCAACATAGCCATGCTTTGCTGAACGATGTGGTCACGTATGTACTTTGCTTTGACAAGCTCGATATCGGTCTCGGAAACACCCAATTCAATTGCTAGCTGAGGCCAGTCGGCTCCTATGGTGCTGCATATGTCGAATAACGCAAGGTCGATCTTCTGAATTAGTTCTGCGTTGCTGAGGTTTTTCTCAATCTCAAAATTGGTAGTTACCTTGAGATTTGGTTCAGCTGTTACTAAATCTTCTGTGCCAGCTTTTTTATCTGAATAATTCATATTATTATTATGAGGTTTACCAATCTTTTCAACACCATCCTTTCTCAAAGTTGTTGCATCTAATGAAACATTTAAAGTGCACAGTGGATTTTGTGGTGCTTCTGAAGGTCCAACTTTCGGACCAGTCATAAAACAAATGCGACCTTGTGGAAGTTCCGGATCTTTAATGTGAGCAGTAAATGAAAGCCGATTTTCGCAAAAGGCATGGAACTGGGTATTTAGCTGGTCTCCTGTTTTAAGAACTGGGACAAGGTTCCCAGCAAACTCTAAGTAAATAGTCTGATCCTGCAACACTTCAATATCTCTGCTTTTTGCAATCTCTGTAAAATATTCTTGCTGTTCAAGCGTTTTTTCCTCTTTATCGTCAGTCATACAAAACACTGAAAACTTTGCTTCTGTTCTAGAGATTCGTTTTGCAAATACTACAAATTTAACAACAAACGGAACTTTGGCTAAGTGACCGTATAACTCGGTTGCCATTCGTCCAGCATCTACAATACTACGGCAATCCATCAGCCAAAAACGGGCAGAAACAGTAGTCGTAAATGTTATACAATCTTTAACAAATGACAGAGGAGTTGATCCAGTAACGTCCTCCCATGTTGCACGCGTTTGACCACCAGAAATGGAACACAATAGTCTCAGAGTAGGTGAACCTGGATTCCCATTGCCATAACCTGAATTTACCATACCCTTGGTATAAGCTTTTGGAGTGGGAATGGTCAGTGTGATTGCCTTGTGAAATTTTCGACGGCGAGGCTCCACAGTGACTATTGGTGAAACAGCAACACCTTGGCCGAGTAGCTTAGAGCATTCAACCAAGTCAACTGGCTGCGCCTGAAGACCGACTCGAATTTTCTTGGTCAAGGCATGAGGTGGAAACATAGCTTGAACCTGCGGTACTGCCGTAGAGCTAACAGTTCCTCCATCAGGTCCGATCGCATGCACCTCTTGACGAATACGCGAAACGACAGCAAAAAAATGCGGAACACTTTGCGTTACTATGCGTATGATCCGGTCTGTTTTCAGTTCTTCTGTTCGACGAGAATCGTCACAGTGTTTATTGGCATCTGAAATTGTTGCGTTACTCTCATATTGGTTATGTTCCTGCCAAGTATCCCCATTATCGGACCGCAAAATAATGATTTCGCGCTCGTTCTCTCTTATCGTGCCAAAGTGAGGAACCTCCAGTGTTATCGGACTAAAAATAATTAATAATAAAGTTATTAAATAGGACTATTTTGGAAACTAAATTGTTCACCTTGAAAACATTTCCTTAACAGGGGACATCTCTAGTATACGACTTACAAGTGCCTCGCCCTCCATTAGGGGAGGAGGATTGGCAACCCTATGCGGTTTAACATAACGACAAGTTATACGTGTTGGTTCAGAGCAAGCTTTTGGTGGAACGATAATTCGGACACCACTGTGACGATATCCGCGCATAGATCCACCACGTGCATCTACCAAAAAAGACACGAGAAATCTATAAAACAAAAAAAATTGTACACTGTATTTCTAAAAAATATTAAAGATAAGTATCGGTTGCTTACCCTAAGTGAACCTGTGGACGAACAATAACGACATTATCGGATTTTCGTTCCTTTTCTGTGGCATCCAAAAATTTTTCTTCCTTTCGTAGTATTTCTATGAATTAAAAACCATTTATCTTATGTTACGTACACAAATCTATTACCAAATATGTACAGAAAATTATATATAAAACATAAGTGTTTTTGTTGTTTCGGTTTCTTTATATATAGGGCGCTCATTTGGGCGCATACACATTTCTACCATGCCGAAAGTTTAAACGTTCTTGAACTACATCTTAAACTACTCCCCTTACAAGTATAGAATGCAATATTCAGAATGCGATTGAAAGGAGTTCAAATTATGGTTTAAATAAATCGGACAATTATGACAACACTATGTCATATGAACCAGAGTCGAAAATATAGAAAATGAATAGAAAAATCGTGATAGTTCCATGTTGCTTTGCCTTTATGTACTTTGTTCGGAATATTTATTACCTGCAAGGATATAAAAGCTTCAGATTACCAAACCTTTCTTCCGTTCTTGTTTTTATTATGAGCTCGATCCTAACAACATCGCCGATAGGGTGGGTGTACTGTATATTAATTCACTAGTATATCGAGTTTTCTCTTCATTTTCTAATAATGCGCAAATACATTCGATACAAATTTTAAGAAATTCTAGTTTTTCTTACCTTTTTCTTGAATAAGCGGATCCGACATTTCAAACTGATCATGTTCGGGATTTGTGGTATCGAAGTTTTGGTTATCCCGACTAAAATTCGCTTTAAAATCATCGTTTGCCATGTATTTATAATGATTGTGATCCAAAAGATCATCGCCAGCTTCGTCATCGGAATCGGAAAGCATCGTTTCTTGCATAACCTCTGGGGACCATACCTTGATTTTATCTTCAATAACACCAGTATTGGTGTTAACTACGGATGATTCGGTGACAATTTTCAGGGTTTCCATTACTGTGATATAGCCAAGGTTACTTGCAATATGTAGTGCAGTTTTACCGTTCTGAAAGAAAATTATTTAAATAGTAAATCACGGTTTTTACATAATTCATAGTTTCATTATCATAACCCTAAGGTATGCGGAATGAAATACGAACAAAATTAAACATGTTCGCAAAAGTTTATTAGTACTGATAGAGATAAACCAAACACACGATAACTAACGGTACTATTCCAGATTTCATTACAATAAATTATAGCTTTCTTGAATGTGACTAGTCGCGGTAATGTCTCAGAGCACAGCAGAGCGTCGAAATTTGATTTGCACATATTGTGCAAATACCCCATCTCAGCCAAAAATTCAATTTTTCATTACTTTTCGGCTATGGGGTTCAAGAAAACTTTTATTTATAAAGTTATTTCGGATATACAGAGTGGAAAAAAAATGGAAAGAGCCCCTGGTTCCGGGAAAAAATGTGCACTACAGAAGTCTCAAGTTAGAGCCAAATTAAAGGCTTCAATTGTGGGTCGCACAGCTAAATCGTATCTTGCGCTGGCAAAAAAATACAATGGAAGCGACAAAACTGTAAAAAAATATATAAAAGAAATGGGAGTGATAAAATGTTCAAAAAAAACTGTTCCTAAAGTTTCAGATGCCCAGAGAGAGGCTATTAAACAGAGGCTGCGTGCGCTTACTAGAAATTTGTTTTCTGCAAGCAGTTCTAAAGTTTGCATAATGGACGATGAGACGTATTTTACAATGGAGGGTCATGAATGGACTCCAAAATATTACTTTAAGCTTCCTAATACTCAACCACCAGAAAATATTACTCAAATAACGAAAACAAAGTTTCCTGAAAAGGTTTTATTGTGGCTGGCCATTAGTGAGAATTCAGGAGGGCTATGCGCAAAATATCCAAAAATCTAAGGAAAGCTGCTCGCTATGGTCATGAATATTTTTTATAAAATAGCTTAAGGTCTAATAAAAAAAATATAAAAATTTGAAGTTTGTCGGACATAGAATAAATTTGTTATTTGTATTGCACAATTTGTTCGTATTATTTCCATGATCTGTCTTCAGTCATAACCTTTTTTAGTTAATATGGGCTATCGTTGACGACATTTAACAGCTCTTGAGCGATGCTCAATCAATGGTTTTTTTGATAAAAATATAGCAAAAAACCGACTAGCATGCAAAACACTTATAACCTTCACGCCTTTCAAAAAAAAAAAAAAAAAATAGCCATTCACTTGAAATTTAGTACAGCTGTTCGAAAAAAGTTTATCAACAAAACAACCGATTATCAAAAATACGTTGCCCGAGAAATTTTAAGTCACCTTACTTTTTGAACTTACTTTTTTCTCTGCTCATCTGAGCAACAAGAAAGAATGGACCACCATGAAGGAAGTACACTCCATGGCGAGTCACACTATAGCATGGTATACGGACGGGTCTTTAACACACCAAGGCACTGGCCTTGGAGTAGTAGGACCACGAATCAAATACCATGAATCGTTAGGCCAATACACCAGCATATTCCAAGCTGAAGTTTGCGCCATAGGACGGTGTGCAGAGCTCAATATGAAGCGTGGGTACACAAACAAGGACATTGCGATCCTCTCGGACAGTCGAGCGGCTATTACTGCACTATGCAGCAATAGAATCACCTCGAAGCTGGTACGAGAAGTAAGAACAAAGCTGAACCTCCTGGGCAGCAACAACAGGCTGTCATTAAGATGGATTCCAGGACACAAAGACATATCCGGGAATGAACTAGCCGACAGGCTAGCAAAACTAGGGGCGGAAAGACCCCTTATAGGACCCGAGCCTTACTGTGGCATAGGCAGACACACAGTCAAAGATTACCTAAGAACAGAAGAGGTACATATGAGGCAAGCCTGCTGGGCAGACACCACAGGCCAAAGACAAGCCAAAACCCTCATCGTCAATTATGACATGAAGAGGTTTAAGAAACTTATACTACTAGGGAAGAACTCACTTAGGATAGTGACCGGTTTACTAACCGGACACTGCAAACTAAGGAGACACCTATTTAATATAGGGATTACAAACAGGAAAACATGCAGGTTCTGTGATAGCGAGGATGAAACCTCCCTACACATAATATCAGATTGCCCAGCACTAAGTAGCCTGAGGTGCAGAACCCTCGGGTCCAGGTTCCTTACACTTGGGACCTCTGGAGGCATCGACCCGATAAAGCTCCTTAACCTCATCGAAGGAGCCGGGCTGATGGGTGAGCTCTAAGCTCAGATAGGGGGTACAATAGATCCAGTTGGGTCGAGGTAACCTTTTCCCCCCCCTAATAATAATAATACTTTTTGAACACTCCGTGCAATAACTACAAAACTTTTGATAAAGTTTATCGAGGTAACATTAAGGGACACAACTTGAGAGAAATTTAAAAAAAAATCGATTCGGTAGATTACACCTTTAAAAATAACATAATAAAATTTCAAATCGATATCTCAAATAATTTTTGAGTTATAGCAATTTAAAGAGCAGCCGCTCTTATAACAGTGCAAATCCTCATTTTATCTTCAAACGAGTTTTTTTCTCGAAACAAAATAATTTCTTGTGTAGAATAAAAAACAACTAACTTATTATTTCCCTTCACCTTCATCATCATCATCATCATCATCAACATCAACATCATCATCATCATCATCTGCATCCATTTTGGACTGATCGTACCATTCAACATCAGGCTCATATTGGAATGCTAGCAGAAAAAATTAATTTGATTTATGTGCTCGATGTACCTGTTGGCGTTGTGGGTCATTTCTGCGTCTATTGACAGTAAAACGGTGTGATTGTCGTTGTTCTAATCTTCGTAAGTCATTGCGTTCAGCTCGAGAATCTTCTGGTTGTTTTCGACGTAACTGCGCCGTGTTTACACGCATATGTTTGTTCTTCAGTTCTTTGGGTTCTTCTACTTATCATGCTTCTAGATCTAATTGTGTTATGGCTCAAGTTAGCCCCTTTGCGTTTTGTTGGACAAAACACACTTAAAAATAACTAGTTGAAATAAAACTCGTGACACGTGTTGATAACTTTTGAGGTTGCGTAAATCAAAATTGAACTACGTCACTAACTTTCCCTGTCCTTTACTGGATTACCCTTAACACTTGGAAGGTTGAAAAACATATGTTGTTTGATTCTCAGACCTACCCAATATTCTCACAACATATCATAAGAATCGGTCTAGTCGTTTTGGAAGAGTATGATATCAAACACTGGGACACAAGAATTTTATTTATTATATATACTTACATTTGTTAGTGCATTCGGATTCGCTTTATGTCGTAGCAAAAGATTAATTATCATTACATGTCCTTGCTGAGCAGCTTGATGCAGTGGTGTGTAGCCAATATTGGTAGACATTTCAATGTCAGCATCGTTTTCAAGCAAAAATTTTACAAGCTCGAGGTGACCATAGTGGACTGCTATATGCAGGGGAGAATAACTATTTTTAGTGAGTTCCGAGATGTTAGCACCATGCTCCAGCAGAATTTGGGAGACACGAACGTGACCCCCCTGTGCAGCCAAATGTAATGGGGTCAGGCCGTTTTTGGAAGCCACATTCGTAGCGCCATGTTCCAGGAGTAGTGTGACCATATCATAGTGGCCTTCCTGGGCTGCCAAATGCAAGGGAGAAAAGCCGCTTTTGCTTACAGCATTAACATCTGCACCGTGTTGCAATAACTGCTGGGCAATTTTTAAATTGTTCTTATTGGCGGCTATGTGAAGTGCAGTTTGCCCATTTCGAGCGCATAACTCTGGCAAAGCACCATTCTTTAGGAGCTCTTCAACCACTGGCTCATGGCCATAATGCGTGGCCACGTGCAATGAGGTCACATCATTTTTTCCCTGAAAGTCAACCAGAGCTCCCTTTTCTAGTAATATTGCCACTATATTTTGCTTGCCGTATTTGCTAGCCAAATGCAACGGCGTGAATCCTTTTTTGGTAAAGACATCTAGCTCCGCACCATTTTTCAATAACAACTGGACCACATCTTGGTGCCCTTCCTTTGCCGCAATGTGAAGGGCCGTGTAGTTGTCTTCAGTTTTAGAATTCACTTTCGCTCCATGCTGCAGTAATAACGTAATTATATTAATATTTCCTAATCGGCAAGCCACATGTAGGGGTGTTTGGCCTTCACGAGCTACAGCATCCACTTCTGCGTTGCGAAGCAAGATTTGAACAATATCCGTCTGAAATAAATCAACATTACTGACAGTGTCTGACAATATATTTTTTGACAGTACCTGATTGGCCCGAGCGGCCAAGTGCAGTGGTGTTTCTCCGCGTACGGTCGGTATATCTGGGCTCGCATCGTGTTGTAGTAAATATATAACAATATTCATACATCCTGAAAATTAAAGTTATTTATATATACTTCATAATCTTATTTCGAATGTAATATAATATATAGTTTTCCGAGTTTTATGAAATTTGTTTTAGATTCACAGCTAATTAAAAAACTTGATACTCAAAAATTAATGATCGTGTTATAAAAAACAAAGACAATCATTTTATTTTCTTAATTTCTATAAAGATTTTTCAATCTTTCCAAAAGAAAATGACGATACCATTTTATTTCCATTAATTCTGTATAGAATGTTTGATCTTTCCTTTGACGGCTATAGTAATCAGATTTTAATAAAAGTTAGTTTGAAATTAGAAAGTAAAAAAAACCCATCTGAAAGAAATTATGTCGATATGATCAAAAACCACGGAGTAATCATTTTTTTTTTTCATTCGCTCAGATGGGCGCTATCTGACATAGTAGACCGATCCGGCCTGGTCCGACTTATATACTGCGTGCAATAACTGCACAACTTTTGGTAAAAATTCCGCAAGACAGCATTGAAACTGAAAGACTAGTTTACATAGTGTAGTAGGATGTTTACCTACAATACCCACTGTACCATAGAATAAGAATTACAGTTAAAGACCAGAGATGTATAGCCATCTCTCTCGCTCTCATATAATAGAATAGAGTAAGTTTATGATTATGTATTGCAAGCTCGATCACGCGGCTGAACGAGGAGAAGAAGGAAGAGAGAAAAAGGCACTCAGTGCCTGGCGATTGAAAGGAGCGGTTGGTTATAGAATAGAATAAAGTTATTGAAATTAAAGCACAACCTCGACATTATTTAACTACTACAATAGAAACAAACAGATGGACAGACATACAAGTCTAGATCGATTTAGACGGTGATGCTGCTTAAAAGAATATATACTTTATACTTTATGTACTGCGTTGCAAACTTGTGACTGATATTTTTATACCTTCTGCAGGAGTATACAAATTTGTTAATAACATCCGGCTATAGAACATGTATAATAACATTTTTTTAAATCACTTGTGTAGCAGGATGGCTACGTAGAGTATATGTATGTATGTGTAAATGTTTGTATTATTTGTAAGTGCGCATTATTGTGAAATAGCTTTAAGTAGAAACGGGAAAGATCGTGCGCATTAATAAGAAACAGCATAGGCAGCTGCACGCTCTCTGTGCTCTTGCTCTTGCTCTCGCTCTCTCTCTTGCGCTCTTGCCTCTCGCTAAAACGAGGGTTGATCGGGATCGCAAGAGTGGAGAAGAGTCAGTCGAACACCAGTAGTTGAACCATCGAGAAGTTATAAAGTCAAATAAAGAATATTAAAAGTGAACTTGACTGTGTTGGTGTTTTACTGGGATATACATTCACATCCCTACACTTGTACTTACCCATGAAACTAGCAACGTGTAGAGGCGTCAGACCAGATTCGGTAGTTGCACCAACGTTAGCTCCGTGTTTAATAAGAAGTTCAACAATTTTTATGCGATTCTTTTTGCAAGCAATATGAAGAGGAGTGAATCCGTTGAGCGCCCGAGCATTTGGATTTGCTTTGTTGTCAAGTAACAGTTTAGCAACTTTCACATGACCACAGTGAGCAGCCACATGAAGTGATGTTAAATAATCCACGGTTGTTTCGTCCACTGGCGAGTTGTTTTCCAAGAGTAATCGAGCTGCTTTGTCGTGCTCTCCCTGGGCAGACATGTGAAGCGCTGACAGTCCGTTTTTGGTTTTTGTCAAAATAGGAGCGTTGTGACGCAACAATATTTCAATGACTTCAACATGGCCTGAACGAGAGGCACAATGAAGTGGAGTTAGGCCGTCCCTAGTCGCTGCATCGATTTTTGCTCCCCGCGAGAGCAACAAGCTGCAAACTGATGTTTTTCCCCATTTGGCTGCCACGTGTAGTGGGGTAATATTATGTTTGGCCACATAGTTTACATCAGCCTTGCTATTCAAAAGCAGTTCGGCTATGTCTACGTTGCCGTAATGAGCGGCAATATGCAAAGGAGTGAAGCCAGATTTGGAAACTATATCTGCATTGTTATCGTGTTGAAGCAATAGTTTGGCCGCATACACGTCGTTCTTTTTGGCTGCAATGTGAAGTGCTGGAAGACGAACCTTACCGCGAACATCGCTTTCAAGCAAAACAGCCACTATTTTATCGTGTCCCTGCTGCATTGCTACAGCAAGTGGGGTGAAACCATCTTCGGTTGATAATGACGGGTTTGCTCCATTTGCTAGTAAGATCCTACAGCAGTTATCGTGGTTTTCTTGTGCGGCCATGTAAAGCGGCGTAAAACCAGTTAAAGACTGTACATTTACATTAGCTTTAGCTAAGATAAGCTCGTTAATAACCTCTTGTTGGCCTGCCAAAGATGCGATGTGTAGGGCAGTGTTTCCTTTTTTGGTAGCATTATCCACGTTAATGCCCCTTCTTAGCAGCTCACAGCAAATATCTAGATATCCGTCCTTTGCAGCTAGATGAAGTGCATTTAGGCCATTCTAAAATTATAAACAAACCATTGACCATTAGTTTTCTCAATTGTTTAAACTTAATAAAAAGAATATGGAACACCTTTATGTTGTGTATATATATTAGCAAAAAGGCTAAACAACATCAAAGCTGTGATGAATTTAAAAGTTTTTTTGCGTTCTTTTTTTTCCTTTTTTAAAACGGCGAAGAAGTATGTTGTGAATATTTTGTACAAATTTTCAGTCATTTATGGTCAAACTAAGGGAGTTACAGGATCTTAAACGCCCGAGTTTTGACGTATTGTGTCGTAGAAAAAAAAAACTTCAAATCAGATAACTGTCGACCGTTACTCGTTGTTTGCAAATAACTGTATTTTCCTGACTCTTTACGAAAAGACTCAGAGAGCAACCTATTTATGGGGTCCTGAATGACCACGCTCGCGCTCAGAGCGAAACCGTTATTTTCTATTCGGTTTTGTTCTGGTTGCTCTAAGACCGTTATGTCGTGTTCAGTGAAGCGAAAGGTCTTTTGCATATGTATTGGTACACATTGCACGTATAGGCAAGCAAATCGTTAAGGGTCGGTTTTTTTTGTTTTCGTTAAGCTTTGGTTGTTTATTTTGAATCTGCTCTTACGAGACTAACAAAGCTTTCGTTCGCTCTCTGCGAGCTCGCTCCGTCTTCGCCAACCTTCGGTAAGCTAGGCTTAAGCATGATTGTGGAGAGGTAATAAGACATACGTTGAAATTGAGTATAATCGAGCGCACGTATTTTTTCTCGTTTCGTTTATGCCAAATAAATTAATTAGCCACCCAAAGTTTTCGGTTGTTAATATTTAGAAAAAATAAAAAGGGGTGTGTCCAGCCTACGCACGACAAAAGTGAAACTTCTTCATCACTACTCATTTTTAAAATTGAAATTCTGTAGGAAACCGAATAAAAGCCTTTTTAGACGCTTAATTTTAGAGGTCTCGAAATGTGCTGGCGACTCTCAAAAGTTAACAAACCGATTGATAAGAAGAAGAAGACAAATACATATCGATATGTGTTTTCATTTCTAGGTCAAATAAAATGGATAGAAATTATGGTGCCAATTAATATCTGTATGCAACCTGTTCGATTTGAATTCCTTTTGACATTCACACCTCTCACCCCGTTTTCAACTTATGCTCTCAACTTTGTGCGAGCGCGCTGAGAGCGAGAAAGGATAGAGGAGGATAGAGACATCGTTCGTCAGCGGTTAGAAAGGGATGGGGATCCTCGCTTTTTCGTGACGGTCGAGAAAGGATAGAGACATCGTTCGTCAGCGGTTAGAAAGGGATGGGGATCCTCGCTTTTTCGTGACGGTCATGAATCGGTTTTACTCCGTCCCCGAAAATCCATAACGCGCATAAAGAAGTTTCACTTCAAAACTCTTCTAAATTTTTAACTCTTGAATTACGAATTAAATTGGATCAAAATCGGACAACTATCTATAGATCTATATGGAAAATAAATAGAAAAATCCTCTATAAGCTTAAGGTTTTTAAAAGCCTTGTTTAATATAAATATAGATAAGCCAGAATTTAAAAACACTTCCTTTTGTTTATTTTTTTTAATTTTTTTTTTTTTTTGATTTTAACTTACCGCATTGCAACTGTTGATGTCCGATATCTCACCACTTTCTATAAAATCGATCACTCTTTTTAAATCCCCGCTGCGCGCAGCTCGTAAGAATGAGATAGTTGCGTCATTCTATAATTGAAACAGAAGTTTTAAAATAATATATATTGAGGAAAAGTTAGGTGTTAAGCCTTTCCAAGTACAAAAGCCGACAGTATTTATACTATTTCACGTTAATATAAACGGAAAAGAAAGCTTCGGGTAGCCACTGAAAACTTTTTATTAAAAAAAACCATTCTTGTATAATAAAAAAACAACGATGTGTTATATAGATTATCGATCTTTCCTATGGTTGGTCTATAATAGGACGACTATATCATATAGCTGTCATATGAACAATAGTCAAAATATGGAAAATTAATAGAACAATAGTCATAGCTTCAATGTTGTTAAGCCTTTAGGTATTTTGTTTGATGACTTCAAGGGTAAGCCGAAGCTAGCTTCCTTTCTTGTTATAATATGGTGTTTTCTAATGACTCTTGAATTTCGAATTAAGTTTCATAAAAATCAAACGACTATATCATATAGCTGTCATATGAACAATCGTTGAAAATATAGAAACTTAATTGAAAAATCGACATAGCTTCGATGTGGTTTAGCCTTTATATATTTTGCTCGACATATTTGATGAGTGCAAGGGTGTATAAGCTAGCTTCCATTCTTGTTTTTGGTTTAAGTTCTATTTTAATTTTTCTTATTTTTAAACAATACTAACAAAATATAAAAATATAATTAAATGCATTTTGATCTGCTTTACTCTTCACAGTGACTAAAAAAAATCGAAACTTTTGTCGGAGCCAAAATTCCCCGCGTTATTACCTGGAAAAAATATCTAAGAAGAGTCTGTGAAAATTTCAAGTCAATCGGTCAAGCCGTCTCGGAGAAATTTTCCTCACCGACTTTGAAAACATGATTTCGAGAAAAACGCATTTAAAGTTTTGGCTACATTATGAACTACGTAGGAGACGTCTTTAATAATAGGCTCGTTACTCCAAAACTATTTTACGGGAATAATTTTCAGACAATATTTTTAAATATATGTATATAGATTCAAAATTAGTGAAATTAGTGGTGCTTGTTGATAGAGTTATCACTTCGAACCGCGGAGGAATGGTTTCGACGATTCAGAGACGGTGAAAACGACACCATTGATACGCCAGCCGACTGAAGACCTGTGACAACGAATACTGATCAAATCATGAAATACATAGAGTTGACCGACACGTCGTGACATCGCCCAGTGACAATGTGAGTAAGTCACCAACAAATTTTTTACCATCTGCAGAAAGCTGGATACAAAAAAAAGCTTGATGTTTGGGTGCGGTATGACTTCACGCAAAAAAAAAAAACCTTTTGGACCGAATCAACGGACTCGCGACGAAAAATGGATCACTTTCGACAATATCAAGCAAAAACGCCATGGTCGAATGTGAGGGCCCCAGGACCGATCAACATGTGAGGGCTTTTAGCGGTTCGAAATTATTTACATTATCCAAAAATATTAAGCCTTCAATTCGTTTTATTTATTTATTATCACAATTTTATCTTAGTCATCTAATACAGCGTAGAAGAGTAGAATAAAACATAAATAAATTGTTTCAAATTGCATCTGTGTACAGTAAAAGCAAACGTATTTTCGAATTTGTATATTAAAAAGACATTTTACGCCATTTTCATTCGCAAAATTCTTAACAATATCATGAAAAGTATCAAATGAACCAGTCGATCTTCTTCCATGCTCGAAAGAAGTCGACTTTTGATCAATTTCATTTTGGAAAACGATCTTTCACATGTACAATAAGTCCCCATCATCGCTAGGTACAAACGCAACACGATTTCTGCAATAAAAAATTAAAAAAAACCTATTTGTTCGCATTTTTTGTGAGCCGGTATCAACGGCCAGGAAGGTTTTGCTGTGTGTTTCGTGGGATTGGAAGGGAATAATCCACTATGAGCTTTTCCCATATGGTCAGACGCCATATACTGCGAACAACTGGCCCTCTCAAAACGCAATATGCCAACAGGAAGAGGGAAGAGTTCCACCTGAACAACGCCACCTACTTCGTTGATGACTCGTCAGATAGCTTGGATAGGAGGTTTTCTCGCATCCACCAAGTGCCAAGTGATTACCACCTGTTCTTGTCAATGACGAGCGCCCTCGGTGGTGTAAAGCTTAGCTTTAAAGAGACTTCGCAAATTAGTACTATTGTGAAGTTTCCGTCTAGATGAAAACAGATTGTGGAACAAAATGTCGCGTATTTGAAGTAAGTCCGATCACTGTAACACTTTTTAAACCGCATTGAATAAGAAGCAAAAATTAGAAGGAAGATATTTGCAAAAAGCAAAAAACATGATTAAACAAGAACATTAGTAATCAAATACAATAACGCTAAACAACATCGAAGCTATGTCAATTTTTCTATGAGGTTTCTCTATTTTCGACGATTGTTCATATAAAAGCAATATGATATAGTCGTCAGATTTTTACGAAATTTAATTTGAAATTCAAGAGTCATTAACTCTATATTTAAAAAATTATGATTTTCTGATGAAAAACAACGAATTTATCTTGTTTTCCGTTAACTTCCGCTATTCTATAAGGATTTCGGTCTTTACTATGGTAGCTACATTATATAGCTGTCTGATGATTATGCATTTTTTTCTCTATTCAATGGTTTTTAAAAAACTTGATGTTCTAAAAATTATTTCCGTGGGATAAAAACAACGATGTTAGAATTTTTATTGAAAGTTGTGTAGTAATTGTTTGCAGTATATAAGTCGGAACAGGCCGGATCGGGCGACTATATAGGATAGCTCCCAAGCGAGTTTTTGAAATAAAACTTCTAACGCCGTTGTTTTTGATCAGATCGACTAGATTTCTTCCAGATGGTGTTTTCTAACTACTATTGAATTTCGGATTAAATTTTATCAAAATCGGTTAACTCTATCATATAGCTGCCATGCCTATCGGACGAAAAACAGCGATGTTATCATTTTTTTTCGTTCATTTCCTTTAACTCTATATAGACCTTTCGACCTTTCCTTTGGCAGCTACAGTAGTGGCCACGAGTTTAGCACACTATGCATGCCCCATTTTTGAACTTAAATATATTCTTTCCCTGGAGATTTTTGACCGTATTTATTTAATGTACATTTGCTCTATTATTAATTTTGTGCCATTCGCTTTTACCGTTTTCTTTTACCAAGCCATGCTCTCCACGTGCCATGCTCTCCACTAAGGCTTCGGTCACGCATTGAGCGATGAGCGACGCTCTCTCGAGCGACGTAAAATATTAAAGCTTATGAGAATGCATTGGAGTGGCCACGCAGCCGCTGAGCGACGAAATGTAAACAATGCAAAAAATATGCGCGGAAACATTAATTTCTGCTGTTCAAAGCCGAACCGTTTTATGGAACGACACTCATAAAGTGTATAAAAATAAAAATACATAAAAGTATATAAATAAAATAAAAATAAAATCAATCGATTAATGGGATGAACGCAAAACCTACGCCTTTGTATTCTTTTTAATTGCCTATATTTACTATAACGGCTTTCAAACAGATTTCGTAGAACCTCTCTAGAATAAGGCATTTCTAAAATGTTTACAACTAATCATCTCGAGTGATGTCGCTCAGTGCGTGGCCACCTCCCTCAAAGCGATCGCTCATTAACGTCGCTCGAGAGAGCGTCAATGCGTGGCCGAAGCCTAAGGCTGCGCATCACTTCTGGGGAATGTTGTTCCACCCATTTTGGATTGCAGTCCACAATTCACTCAAATTCCTGGGTTTTTCGGACAAAACATGGTTCTCAACATCACCCCACAAGATCTCAATAGGATTGAGATCCGGAGATTGAGCAGGCCACCATAAAACATAAATTTTATTCTCCTCAAGGCAACTTTTTACTAGACGTGAAGTGTGCATAGGGTCATTATCCTGCATAAAACGCCATTTCAAAGGCGAATTGGATTATTATATCCGTCATAATTTTTTTTTAGATCTAGCTATCTATTTTATGAATAGGGGCCACACCATGCCAGGAAAGGGCAGCCCACACCATGACATTTCTTCCACCATGTTTGATTGGCTTTAAAGTGTATCGTGGGTCATTATGCTTCTGTGGTGGCCGCCAAACATATGTATCGCTTTCCATCAGATCCAAATCAAATTTTACAGGAGAAGCTTTTTCTTTTTTTTTTTTTTGTATTTCGGTATTTTTGTGCGATTGCAGTATTTCCTTGCAAATGAAAAAAAAATTGTATGGACATACGATAATTTCGCGCGCACATTGTAACATACGATAAAATTGAAACTTAATTTTTATCGGAACTATAGGGCTTTCAGTTATAATATTTCAGAGGGTAGTGAAAAATCAGGTGCCTAAAAATTTTGCATTAAAATCTCAATTTCGAAAAAAAAACGACCTACGATACTTTCGCGGAAATGCGTCGATATCTTATGCATTAATACATATGCTATACGATAATTTTTATTTTATATAAAAATATAAATTAAAAAAACATGAGCTAAAAACTGAAAAAATTAATTTAAATGCCCGTCTTCGACCAAAAGTACCGTAAATATTGCAAGTTCCGCGAAAAAGCACAATATTCTATTTGTTGGCTCTGCTCTCATCTCGCTGTCGATGCTTGTGCTATTGTTACAACTACAAATAGCGTGTCGCGTATTTTTTTTGCTATCGCTATTGCTCCGTGCTCCGACGTTCAGTGCTACAGAGCAGAGCAGAGAGCATCCGTTTTGATTTTGTGCTCTCTGCTATGCTACAGAGCCGATCGAAAACAGAGCAATAGCGGGAGCAAAAAAATACTCTGATGCTGCATAGCATTTTCAATCACTGATTTCGACCGCACCCGCCCGCACTATAATCCGACATTTAACTCGATATCTTCTAAATGGTGCGAGAAATCGAAAAATTTTAATTATTTAAGTGTTTACTTTGGGCCAATTAACAAAAATATGTCCTCAAATCTTGGCTCCCCGGTTTTGATTCTAATATTCCAGCTCTTAAAGTTCACCAGATTCGGAGTCTTTTTTCAGAGAAATAGACGGACACACATACATACATATGTAGATCGACTTGTCTGAAAGAATGTTCAAGAATATTTTTATGTACATACATACATATGTATATCCCGACCTCATTACGTTCTTTTCAACAATTAAAGTAAGCCAACATTTCTCCAACAAGTACAACAAGTAACGGTAAATAAATGAATGCACGCCAAGAACAAAGTTCCAAAGTTCTTCAAAAGTGCTTCTGGAAATGCCTGGAAAATCATTTTCACCGGACAACCACCAATTTGAGTTAAATTTTGACTTAATTTGTCTGTACCAATAAGACTAAACAGTGCTAGCAAGATTATACAGCAGGAAACGCCCACGTATCATTGTGTTTACATACTCATGAATAGCTCAATTTTATGTTTGGATATCTAAAAATAGTAACAAAATAATGTTATTTACCTGTTGAAAATGTCCATTCATTTTGTCCAGGGTTGTTTCATTCATATTGATTGTTTGAGCACAATTTACAGTCCTAAATGTTGTATCTTCTTGTTCCTCACCCAGTGTCATGATTGAGATGCCACCACCTGAAAAATCATCAATCAAAGTTTGTTTTCATTTTATAAGGTGAATAAATGTTTCAATGTGTTAATAAAAAGGGTTTTCTTTTTTAAACAAATTTATGGGACTTATGCCAATATATGCATATAATAACATCCATTTTCCATATACATATACAATTGCTTTTTATATTTTTGGTAAGGACGGATGTATGATGTCATCACTGAGTGTTTACTTGTAAAAAAAAAATAACAGTTCCCAAAAATATAATATATCGTTAATTAAACAGAAATGGTATTTAATTCGCTTTAGCTATATATTTACATACAATTTTAAACGAATGTTTAACTATTTTTCGAGAAAGTAGTTCGATTTATAATACATTTATCGATATTACCCATATCGAAATTCATGTAGTAATTAATGTAGAGTCGAGGTACACCATTGGAAATATCGATGCATCGATATTTTAATGTTTTTGGTATCGGTTACAAGGTTTTTTTAAACCAACTAATACCTTCATCCCACACTGTCATTCGTGTTTTACTACAGTACTGCAGTGCAAACCTATTCCTACCCTCCTATTCCAACAGATTGGTCTTTTTTAACTAGCCATCTCTTACTAAGCTTAGAACGTTGCTTGTTACTGAAATAATTTTTAACCTTATTCGTGGTGAAATCGACAGTCCTGACTTGTTGGGTAGACTAAATTTCTCGGCTCCAAGTAGATCAACTAGAAATTATGTTCCTCTTGCATAAGCCTTTCAGAGTACTTTACTACTTTCAGAGTACTATAATAGACTTATTTCTCTAGAATCTACTACTGAATCTCTGCAGCTCCTAAAGCAACTAATATAAACATTTTGAGCACAAAATTAGATCATAAAAATAAAATAAGAAAAAATGTTCCCCTCTCCATTTAATTTTTGCATCGCTTTGTAATTTTTTTTTTTTCTCTTCTCCTTAATATCGCGTCCAAATTTCCGCGAATCGTTCCGTACGATACACGGCTGATACCTGATGACAACCCATTGTAATCCTTAAAAAAAAAACCCCCAAGGCATAAGTCATATATTACCCTTATTCTTTAGCTTACCACTTCCTGAAAGCGGCAGTTTTTTTTTCATCGGCACCGCTTATCGGACTTTGAGCATTGATAAATTTTTTAACAACAGGGATTACCAATACATTGAATACCGTAAGCCCCAGTTTAGGTTTTTAAAATGTAAATATACATTTTTGCAGTCGTTAATCAAAGGTACTAAAAAAATATAAAACAACATCTCAAGACAACACATTCGCTACTTTTACTGCAGTAAGTACAGCTCTGTGTGAACAAGGTATATTTCATTTTTGTTTAGTAAGATATACTTATAATTATATTTAGAATTGCTTATCGATTAATTGACAAAATTACTTCTGTTGTTTTTGGATAAACTAATTTAAAAATTCTTTTTGCTTTGAGCAACCGTTTCTTATACAAAGTTTGCAGGCGGGATCAATTAAGAATTTAAAGTGAATAAACCAATTTTCTTATGTCTTTGTGCTTTAAAATATTCGGTGCGTATCAAATCGTAGAGATTTGTATTTCTGTGTATATCAAACGTGCTTTAGATACAAAGAGGTTCCATATGCTTACAAAAACACACCATTATGAATCAATACAAAAATTTAAATATACCTACATAATTGAAAATACATTTTCGCAGATACATTGCATTTGGTTATGTTATGTCACGAATTCTAAAGTCTTAATTTACTATGTTCTATGCAAAATCAATATGTATATATAGTCAGCACAGAATAGTGAATGAAATGCAAAAAAAAAGCCTAAAATGCGGCACAAAACTGATTCGACAATTTTCATTTATCGTCTTCTATTTGCGATTGCAACGTAAATCTGTTTTTTGTTTGTTTTTACTTGGAATCACTTAGGAATAGGCTTCGACGTGCTTTTTCGTGTGGTATTTTTGCTGCTTTTATTCATAACAAAAAAAAAAGAAGAAGAAAAAGAAGTTGCGAAAATCTATATTATATATATGTACATTTATAGAATCGAAGCTATCACGAAATTGGTAGTCATTGACAAATCACCTTTCATAATACATAGCGTGAACAATAGTACAAAGCGTAAACAAATATCTGGGCACATGAGATTAAGCTGCAAACCCAAGATCCTGACACCAAGCGAAGAGCTGAAAGACATACAAATACATCTATAATTCGGAAGAATCTACAGGAAGCTACAGGAAAAAAACTTACCACAACTATCTGTAGAATGCCGGTTTATATGGCAGAGTTCCTCGCCGAAAAACCTTAATTTCAGTCATCTACATAAAAAAAGTTTTTAGTTTTGATATTTAAGCAGCTGGACTCGTTTTGAGAGAAAAACAACAAATTTGGACACGACGGTCCTTCCAAAGTATGGAGAAAAAGTATGGACAATGAAGCTTTGAAAGAGAAAGCCTAGACAGTCGGCCGATCCGGCCCGTTCCGACTTATATACAGTCGAATCCCGATAATTCGTACCCCGCTAAATCTTCAAAAAAATCCCTTGAAAAAAATCTCGATAAATCGAATTCCCGTCTAATTCGTAAAAAAAAGTGATCCCCTTGCCATTTCGAATTATCGGGACTCGACTGTACTGCGTGCAACAACTACACAACAACTACAAAACTGAGAGACTAGTTTTCATAGAAACCGACAGGAGGACAGAAAGACAGACGGACGGACGTACGTACGTATTTGGATTCTGATCGTGATGCTGATCAAGAATATATATACTTTAAGGGGTCTGAGGTGTCTCCTTCACTGCGTTGCAAACTTCTGACTGAAATTATAATACCCTTTGCTTTGCAAGGGTATAAAAATCATAAAAATCGAACAGTATCATATGGCTGTCATAGGAAAGATCAAAAATCTGTATAGAATTAACTGAAAAAAATGATACCATCGTTGTTTTTTATCAGACAAGCATAATTTATGGAATATAAAGTTTTCTAATGACTCTTAAATTTTGAATTAAATTTCATAAAAATGCGACGACTATACCATTTAGCTGTCATATGAACAATCGTCGAAAATAGCTTCGATGTTGTTTATCCCTTATGTGTTTTGTTCGATGATGACTGCAAGGGTATATAGGCTTCGGCTTGCCTAAGCTAGCTTGCTTTTGGTTCCTTTCTATCGGCGGACATATCGATCATGGTACAATTATGCAAGGTAGTCTCGTCGGCTGCCTAATCGTTCGGCTTTTTAGTCAGTGCGTTCGTGCTTGTTGAAGGATGAGCACGCGTGCGAACGAATTTTTTCAGAGTATTAACCCTTGTGCAAAGATGTCGTTCTACCCTTGAATGCAAACTTTTTTTTTTTTTCAACATGTCGTTTCAGATAATTTTAGTATAACAAAAAATGTAAAGGAGAAACTATTATTAGTGCTAAGAAACATTAATTTAGATATTACAAAAATTTACTTTAATATTGACATTTATTTTTAAATTTAGAACCTAAACAAAGAAATAACTATTCAAAAATAAAAACGTTTAATTTTAAATTCAAAACTATTTAAAATTAATTTATAAACAACTTCAACTCTTTTTACTATAAATGAGCAATTTAAGCCCCATGCGCCATCTAAGGCTGCAAACATAGTGCGCGCTGAGACGAAGATTAAGATGAAGATTAAGATGAAGATGAAGCTGAAGACGAATTGTTTGGGTTGCTAGCAAGCTAATAGGTTGCATAGTGCAAGACGAATTTGTTGCGATTTTGTGATGTTAGTCGCAATGGATTTCTCATCAGATGATGAGCTGCTGTTGGAGGAAAGTTTATTCTTTAAATTTAAATACAGCAGAAAATTCTTTCATTCGAATTCACCCAATTAATTTGGGTAGAAAAGCGTTCGGCGAATTTCATCATTTATTTAATGAGCTGCGTAAAGATGAAAAAAAAATTGTGGAGTACACCAGAATGAAAATCAGCACATTTAATTACATTCTGTTAAAAAATTGAACCGCTAATTATTAAAAATTGGACAAATTTTAACAAAACCCCAATTATACCTGTGTGAATTGTAACATGCGCTGCGCCAAAGCATGGATAGAAAGAGAGACAAATAATAACATAGGCAAAATAGCAAGCGATTCGTCTTCAAAAACAGTACTGCACCGTTTGAAGCTGATTGCTTGCGTATCGTCTTCGTCTTCGTCTTCGTCTTTGCGCGCACTATGTTTACGGACGAGCGAATTCATATAAATTGTTTTGCACTGTTTTTCGTCTTCAGCTTCGTCTTCATCTTAATCTTCGTCTCAACGCGCACTATGTTTGCAGCCTAAGGGCTAGGCAAAAAGCTCTTTTGTCGTTTCACTCGCACTTACTACGCAGACTCCTCTCACTCGCACTTGTGGTGAGTAATAAATAGGGGAGTGCTTTTTGCCGACGAGACTATCTTGTATAATTGTAGCATGATATCGATATCAAATGGTGGTTAGAAAAAAGTATTGGTTCACTTTATGGGGTTGGAGTTGTCTTTTTCACTGTGGCGCTAACTTATGACTGATATTTTAATAACCTCTTAAAGTGTGTATAAATCGAATAATTTTTAAAATGCTTCTTCTCTTTTCAGACAAACATTATATCGTTAAGACAAACATCCAAAAGTATTCAAGCTTTTGAAATCATTCTTGCCTTTGCATGGATATCAATTAAAATGTTATTGAATGCTGTTCTCAATAAAATGGATGGAATCATGGAAGGCAATTATATGTCAAATAAAACCGCACTAAAAATTAAATAATGTTCGCTAGTGGCATTATAATTTAATGTCGAATCCGGGAAATATAAGCGACGAATTTAGATTGTTATAAATATAAACCATTGTGGAAAAAATATTGCAATATTCGTAATGAGTTCAGCTCGAGGCGATGTAAAGAAAAAACCGGGAAATAGAGTGCTAAAGGTCCTTGCATTGGAGAAGTAGGCTCTGAATTTTTCAGGTCCTTGAGATCAATTTTTGTTTCGAAAACTGACTCAAAAAACATTGTTTAAAGTCAACATTTAACAACAAGTCTCTTGCTTTTACGCAATTTAGGAAAATCAAACCGTGTTAAAATGGTATTAGTCAAATTTATTGACGTTTTTTTTAACTACTTCAGGGTGGTATTTTGTAAAGTTCAGATGCGCAGCTGACATTATAGGTGCCCAAACTTCTTAATTCTTAAGAATAAGGATCAAATTAAGATCACAGTATATTTAAGCTATCGTCAACTGCTGCAAAATTTCTTGCTTCTTCAAAACCAACCTGATTTTAAGATGTTGACGAATCAAGGCCAAGCCTCTGAGATTGCCAGTTCTCCCAATGACGCGTTGCAGCTACAACCATTATCAAATTTGGCCAATAATTTAACAAATTCGGATTTTGAAGAAGAGGATCTTCGATTCTCTCGAATAGCTGATAAAAATAAACTTTTGAAACTTAGTTGGTGGCACTCCCAGGCTGCAACGCACAGCTTAGAACAAAAACTAGTGCAGCCCAGAAGAAATGATAGAGTACCCAGCAGTAAAACGAAAAAGGTTGAGAATAATAACACTTTGGTCAACGGCTGCATTAACACGCCAGCAAGATCGGTCCCGTTACATCCTTATATTCCTCCCAGCCAGGACAGCGAACAAAAGGAAGCAGACGTCCTTGAGCAAAACGTCGATGAGAGTTGTACGAAAGACTCGCACAGACTAGTTGATGGTATGTATGTATGAAAAGAGTTACTTAAGGTGTATCCATGGTATAATAACTACAAGGTAGTCCCGTCGCCGGTGTCAGTCCCCTATTGCGCACAACAATAAGTGCGAGTGAAAGAGTGTTTTTCTGTAAGTGCGAAAGAAACAGAAAAAGAGTGTGTGGTTTATCCCTTATGCTGTGCATAGTTTTAAAAGGGTTTAAAAAGGACTGTTATATGACAATGAGTATTAATTGTTCCGTAATTTTTGGTTTTTACCCAAAGCTGCCCTTTTGGACTCGCCCCCATATTGTTACCCTTTTAAAATATTTTTGTGCAATATTACATGTTACGCATTGTATGTACTTGCTGCAATAATTGCAACAAGTATTTTTCATAAGCACACAAGGGTTAAAGTTTTGAGAAAAAATCGTCCGCAGACAACCTCTCACTGCAAACGACCCGAGCGTACTGAGGCGATAGGGGACTAAACCCGAACAATTCTGCCGGCGACGGGACTACCTTGTACTTATTATACCATGGGTGTATCTTCACATTCAATCCCATTATTTGAATTTTTATAGTTAAAAAAACGTACAACTATCGATATTTTAGTAAGCGCACACGCACGTGAGGTTTCCTTTGCAGCCAAACTTGAACTGCCGCTTTATTGAAGATCCTCTTCCTTCATGCTCTCTCGTGAGAGTGAGCATTGAAGATCCTCTTCCTTCATGCTCTCTCGTGAGCATAGTGTTGTATAATACTTAAATCTAATATTGCACAGTGTTGCTTAGGACTAACTTACTACTACAATATGAAACTTTAATAATTGCCTAGATGGTTCAAATATATACATTATATAATATTTAAACCATAAAAAAAAAAAAAAGGATAATTCACTGTGGGAACTTTAGGGTTTTGTAACAAGAAATTTTTTTTTATTATTAGTCGGATCCTCACAACGGCTCTTATAATGTTCCTAAATGTCGACAAGAATACATAAATAAAAAATCAAAGCAATGTACATTTTTTTTTATTATTTTTCTATCCCAAAGACAATTTGTAATATAAATTTCGTAAGAAATCTATATTCAAGAGTTGTTAAAAAATTCCATACTCCAAAAATCATGCTTGTCTGATAAAAACAACGGTGTTATCATTTTATTTTCGTTATTTCTGTTTAGATTTTTCGATCTTTCCTAAGGCAGCTATATGATATAGTTTTCCGTGTTTTATGAAATTTGTCGGCTTAAGGGAGGTTAAGTTGCGAGCAATAACTACACAACATTTGGTAAAGATACATCAAGATGGCTTTAAAACTGAGAGGCTAGGCTAGTTTTTATTTGAGTGAGAAAATGCTTTGTTGTTAGACGGAAATAACCATCGATTGCTCAACCATCGATTTATCGGATAACACTGTAAAAAATCATCTCATAAAAACCTTTCCCACTCACAGCCGTTGACACTATCTCTCTATTCGTTTCGACTTATATTTTATATACACAGCATTAATATCGAGCAAAATGCATAAATGCCTAACAAGATCGGAACTGTAACGAATTTTCTAATCATTTTCTATTTTATCAACGATTGTTCCTATGACAGCTACGTATGCTACATACATATGTATGTATGTACATATATGCTTTAGCGTCAGGTTTTCATGAAATTAATCTCGATATTAAAGAGTCTTTAAAAAACTTAACATGCTCCAACTCATGCTTGCATCATAAAAAACAACGATGTTATAATTTTGACCCATTTATGATATTTTTCGATCTTTTTTTTCGACACCAAGACTTGTTATCAGTATGCAATACTATGAATGACAAAAATGATGATAAAGTTGATGTACGTAAATACGTGTACATGTATGTATGTATATAACAGCATTTAAATGTTGCTGTATTTGTACGTGTATATGCAGTGTTAAATGCCTTGTGCTTTTGATTCGTATGCCTTATTTATTGAAAATTCTTTATTATTTTTCGATATGGCCTTGGTGAATGTGTGCACAAGTGCGTAGGGTTTGTAATAACTTGGTAGATCTGTAGTAATTAAGAAAAGCTATTAAATTTGGACTCTAACAAAACACATACATATAGTGTTGATAATTTGATTTGTATTTGTTTTTTGGCAAACATTAGAGGCAATCAAGACAAGGGCCCTATAAACGAATAAAGTATAACGTGTAGGGCGAGAGAAGACTAACGGTTCGAAGCGAAAAAATAATAACAAGTGGGCGCTTTGGACTCTTATCATTTGCTTTTTATCTACTGATGTTGCTTTCTTGATTACATAGAATGATTTGCTTGCAGCTCAAGGCAAATTTCTAATAAAGTTGTCTTAAACTTTAAAGCTAGAGACCAAACGCTCTTCGGATTTTAACGTTCTTGGTTTACAAATGTAGACTTTTAAACAATGATAATTGTTTTAAGAGCACAAACTTATTACAAACCTATTGTTCAAATCATTTTAAAACCCTGAAATAATTTTATATTGTGCAAAGCTTTCTGTCTTGATCAGGTTATATGTTCCTAGTTTTGTTTTTTAATATTTTATTTCTTGATCTATTTAAATAGAACTTGAAATAGAGTATTCGTTTTGTTAAAACAGGAAAGTTTGCAAACCAAATATGATCATCCAAAAAGAATCAGGAGGTATGCGTTTAAATTTTAAAATATGTTGAATGGCTCATCATCTTAATAATAAAATCAACTCCTTGTCTCAATTAATTCCTTATCTTTAATTTGTTTTCAGATTCTAAACCATGTACTGGATTACTAAACGAAGATCAGGAGGATCAAATGCAAGTGACTGGCTTTCGTCGTTCTTATATACGAACTGTGTGTTGCTGGGCCTGTATTTTCCTAACTGGAGGTCTATTGCGTCTGTTGCTATATTGGTGGCGACATTTGTATCTATTTGCCACATGCTCTCAGTGTTCGTTAGAGGAGGCAGAACAAGTTCTGGTAACGGAGATTTACAAAGAAAAACACAAGCTGTATCACGTAAAGAAAATTCAAGTTCTTACTGTAAACCACCTCAAGTAAGTACTCATTACTCAAAAATGTTATTAAAGTAAAAATAATTATTCATTCTCAGAACAGTGTTGCAAAAGGAGTCACCAGGTCCAGAAAGCATGCGTAGGGAAAGCAACAGTATGGAAGACTCCCTGCAGCTATCGGTTCACTTTTCCTCAGCGCAGTTCAAAAGTACGTACTTCTTAATATAAATAGGTAAAAGGTGAATTTAAATACGATACAGGGGCAATCGAGGTAAATGTAAAACTTAAAATTTATTCTACGAATTAATGTAAACTCAATGTAATGTAGCAACAAACACAACCGCTGTTTTTCGGTGCTCTCATTCAACTGATCTTTATTTGTCTCCTTTTTCATAAAGAGTTGCTTATTACTAATACTTACAAAACTAGCTTATGTATATGTACAGGGTGACTAGAATACACTGCCGCTCAACTGAATAGGTTCATGATCTCAGAGGAAGTAATTTGTCTATAATTCCTAAACCAGTGTACCGATTTCCATAATTTTTTTTTTCTTTAACTCTTGAATCATTTTATAATAAAATGCTGAAGAAGGTTTTTCAAAAACATATTATTTATTCCTTATTTAATTTATTCTTCTGAAAGGTTAACGAAATTCATGAAAAAAAAAATTTCTGAATCATAAAATGACTTCCTACGTGTACTATTCTAGTTATTGACATGTATAAGAAAAACCATTTTTTTTTAAGGAAAAACAGAATTTATTTAAAATTTTTTTTCGCGCCTTTCGTGAATGGGATGTATTAGGACAATCCCAGCAGTAATCAGGCATCATATGCCGATCCTTGGTACCTCTCCTCCAAGGTTTTAAGGTCTTGGTAAAACCGCTCCACTTGTTCTTCGCTATAGGACCCAAGATTCTCTGGAAATTGATCCAGATGACTGTGATGACAGGTTCTCTAGCACGTTATTTAAAATTTGTAAGTAGTAATTTGCTTTCCAAGAAAGTTTTTAGTGACTTCAACAAACGAAAAATTATTGAATTTCTAACTTTTCTTTGGAGTTTTGAGGTTCAACTGGAAGAGGCTTTAATCCTGAATACAATACCTTTTGTCTCGTTTCGATAGGACGTTAAGTTCTTTTTTCCTATCTTTCCCGTCAATTAGAAAGAATCGAAAAAATGTATACGTATATCTGCTTGATGCTTACTAACTATTTTTCTTGTAACTCCGAAAATAATTTGAATTTGTTTCTGAAATTTTAGGGGCACATGCTTAGATAGTTTAGGAAGACATTTATGCAAAAAAAGAAACAAAAAACGATCTTTTTAGGTCTCTAAAGCAGGCCCCCCTTTAAAGTACTGACTACAGCCAATATTCAAAACTAAGGGTGGATCGAAAACTACACCTAGGAAAAAAAAACAATAATTTAGTTGACACTTAGGCAAAAACCCTTAACACTATCTCTGGACCAAACTTTTCTTCATTTTGTTGGCCAGTGTAATCGATTGACATCATTAAAAAAGTACATACTTGTCATTAGAAAAGACAAAAAAATCTTTAAGGCTTAAGTTATTACTGCAAGGGTTATTATCTATATAAGTCGGAACGAGCCGGATCGGCCGACTATATCGGATAGCTCCCATACGAGAGATTGAAAAAAAAATCTCACTCCGTTGTTTTTGATCAGATCGACTTGATTTCTTCCAGATGGTGTTTTCTAACTACTATTGAATTTCGGATTAAATTTTATCAAAAACGGATAACTCTATCGTATAGCTGCTATAGGAAAGATCGAAAAATATATATATAAAAAATGGAAAAAAAATTAGAACGTCGTTGATTTTATTTTAATAACCCTTGATCTAGAAAAAATGTTCATTAAACTCCGACAACGTTATTATAAAGCTGCCATAGGAAAGATCAAAAAATCTATATAGAAATAACGGAAATAAAATTATAACATCGTGGGTTTTGATCATTTGGAGTATAGAGTTTTCTAACGACTTTTGGATTACGAATTAAATTTTATCAAAATCGGTCGACTATATCATACAGCTGCCAATATCAACAATAGTCAAAAATATGGAAATTGAATAGAAAAATCGTCATAGTTTCGATGTTGTTTAGCCTTAATGCATTTTGTTCGAAATATTTGGTGACTGCCAGGACTTCGGCTTGCCGAAGCTTGCTTCCTTTCTTTTAATAATAATTAAATATATACCATAAAAATATAAACGGCAAATCTTTAACACCTTATGCAAGTATATTAAATTTTTATACAATTTAAAAATCATTTGCCTACCTCCCATAATATATATTTTGCAATATAATGTGATTTTAGGATGTTCTTCAGTACGAATATTCCGGTGCAAGCAGCTGATCTATGCGTGGAACAATAATCTAAGTCGATTTCAAAAAATAAATGGCCTGGACCAAAACGTACCGTGTTCATATTATCACCAGCAACGTGGATTAAGTCTAAACGAACAGATTTCAAGACGAATTGTTTTTGGAGAAAATGAAATCACTGTACCATTGCGAGATGTCAAGACACTACTTTTCCTAGAAGTACTGAATCCTTTTTACGTTTTCCAAATATTCTCGGTGGTTCTATGGTTTACATATGATTATTATTACTATGCTTGCGTAATACTTTTAATGTCTATATTCGGAATAACTATGTCGATTTTGCAAACAAAAAAGGCAAGTAGCACGACGCAAAGCCTTATTAAATCGTTATTCAATTTTTCTATTTTTATTTTTATTTTAGAACCAAGACGTCCTTCATAAAACAGTATGCAACACTGGCAAGGCTTGGGTTGTTGATTTTAAGGGTTTTTCTAAGGAGTTCCCAACCCAAGTCCTCGTGCCGGGAGATATTATCGAAATACCATCTTCTGGCTGTACAATGCAATGCGACGCCGTATTACTATCAGGAAACTGTATAATAGATGAGTCTATGCTCACAGGGGAGAGCGTTCCAGTGACTAAAACTCCATTACCATCAAAACGTGATATAATATTTGATAAAACGGAGCATGCCAGACACACGCTGTTTTGTGGCACAAAGGTCATTCAGACTCGTTACATTGGATCAAAGAAAGTGTTGGCGTTTGTGATTAACACTGGAAATATAACAGCCAAAGGTGAACTAATAAGATCTATTCTTTATCCCCCACCTGTAGACTACAAATTTGAACAAGACTCGTATAAATTTATTCAGTTTCTGGCACTTATTGCCTGTGTTGGATTTATCTATACGCTTGTTACGAAAGTAAGTTGATCAAGCTAAGTTGGTGTCCATAAATTAAGGAAATCTAAAATTCGTCTTCTATGTTCAGATTTTGCGTGGAACAGATCCTGTTAAAATAGCAGTAGAGTCTCTGGACCTCATTACAATTGTAGTCCCACCAGCTCTACCAGCAGCAATGACCGTGGGTCGTTTCTATGCACAAAAACGGCTAATGACTAGTGAAATATTTTGTATTTCTCCACGTTCTATAAACGTAGCCGGGAGCATAAATTGCTGTTGCTTTGACAAGGTTCGTATCTTTCTTTTTACCGCACAATTGCCTTTTCTCAATGGACCACAAAACACTTTAATTATAGCCTTGAAGAGGGTATTATTATTTCAATTACAAAGCAAACTAAAGAAGGCATCTCAGAAACCAAAAAAAAGGATATATAAAATGTACCATCTGAGTTTTTTGTCACACGAGCATGACTTGGAGTATCGAGTTGAGAACTATTAAAAAATTAAATTAAAATTAATTATATAACTCCTAATGCACCATGCCATGGTAATCGAAGAAAACAGTGAACAAAGCTTTGATATTTGATGGAACTTTTGGTCTCGTTTCTTTTTGAGACGATTGGGCACGTCTAGATCGATTCAGACGGTCAGACCGATTATGGAGTGTCTGAGGTGTCTCCTTCGCTGTGTTGCAAACTCTTGACTTTCTGACAAAGTTTAATAAATAGAATCATCGTCATACCTCCGATGTTATTAAGCCAGGAGGGCTTAATGCCTATGACGGCAGAACATTTACTGACATAAATCTGTGTTTTTGAATTCGGTTGTCACGATTATTGAGAAATGCCGATATAAAAAATAAGGAAATTGATAAAAAGTTTGACGTTACTAAAAAGTTTTATACACTACATATTTTCGTTGGCTTTGTACGTATCGGACTTAGAAAAGATTTTGTTTATTATAGATTTGTGATGAGTTTTAACTGAAAGGGTGTATAAGCTAGCTGGATGGTCCGTTAAATGATTTATATATATCATCTTTTTATTCCTTTTTTTTATTTTCAGACTGGTACCCTCACTGAAGATGGACTAGATATGTGGGGGTGGTTCCAAAATCATTAACTAACCGATTTCAAATACCGTTAAAAGATGTGGATCGTCTCCCTTACGATCATTTTCTTTTCGGTATGGTAACCTGTCATTCAATTACAATAGTGAACGGCTCAATGATGGGGGATCCGTTGGATTTAAAAATGTTTCAGTCTACGGGTTGGACACTTGAGGACTCTAATAACATACCAGATCATGAAAAATATGGTATTATTTATCCAACCATTTTAAGGCAACCAAAATCGTGTCTTTCTGAATTGACTTCTTCGAATACGGAAGCAAAAAAGCCAATAAATCGGCAATCTTCTTTGGACGATTTACTAGCCACTGTTGGCATCTCGCAAGCTCAAAAGAATTTCGATCATGGCATTGTTAGAGAATTCCCATTCACTTCCAGTCTTCAGCGAATGTCTGTTATAACTCGATGTCTCAGTGACAAGGTTTTCAATGTTTACTGCAAAGGTTCTCCTGAAATGTTACAAAAGCTGTGCACAACACAAAGTTTGCCGGACAACTATTCCCAACAACTTTCGGCATTTGCCAGAAAAGGATACAGAATAATTGCTGTTGCATTTAAAGCTCTTCCACACAAGATGAACTATACAAAAATCCAGCGACTAACCCGCGAAGAGATTGAAAACAGCCTGGAGTTTCTTGGATTCGTAATACTTGAAAATCGTCTCAAACCAGATACTGCTAATGTAATCAACGCACTAAGCTCGGCCAAAATAAGAACCGTGATGATAACGGGCGATAATATATTAACTGCTATGAGTGTTGCTCGTGATTGTGGAATAGTGTGTGCATCGCAAGCTGTTATAACAGTACACGCAGATCCTGTTGACGATGATACTAATACCGCTGGTCACACTAACACCGCAGGTCACACTAACACCGCAGGTCACAACACTAACACTGAAATTGTAGCTGATCATTTTAAAGATAAACACTACAAGTTGCAGTACACTTTAGACTTGGGAAGTAAAACCTCACCATCATCGCTTCTGACTCCTAGCGTTTTCCCCGGGGAAATTCCGGGTAAGGAATTTGGCAACGTCGGTGCTCGAACTCCCCTTTATCGCCTGGAGTCGACGAATTCTTTAGTAAATGAGTTAAGTTCAAGCTATGCAGAAAGCGTTTTGCCGACCAGTGACAGTTTGGCCAGTCTGAAAACCACAGAGACATGGACCCATAACGAAGTAAAAGATGTCGATGTTGAACTTGGAATGAAACGTACACCAGACGAATGCTGGCGGCAGGACTATGTTTTTGCAATGGAAGGTAAAACTTGGCAAATAATAAAAGATCACTTTCCCGAAGAAATGGGAATTCTATTAACGCGTGGATCCATTTACGCACGAATGTCGCCCGATCAGAAACAGGCGCTAATAATTGAACTTCAAAACCTCGATTACTGCGTTGCCATGTGCGGGGATGGCGCCAACGACTGTGGAGCCCTAAAGGTGGCCCACGCTGGTATTTCCTTAAGCGAAACCGAAGCGTCGATAGCGTCGCCGTTTACCTCTCGAAACCCAACTATTTCTGCGGTTATAAAAGTTATTAGAGAAGGACGCGCTGCATTAGTCACATCGTTTGGTATTTTCAAATACATGGCAGCCTATTCTCTTGTTCAGTTTATATCTGTAATGATTCTGTACTCGATCGACTCAAACCTCACTGACAAGCAGTATCTTTATGTGGACCTTGGATTGATTTCAATATTTGCCTTCTTTTTTGGCAAAACTGAATCGTTTGACGGCAAACTAGTTAAACAAGTACCACTCAGCTCATTGATATCATCGACGCCATTGGCATCGCTCTTACTGCATCTTACTGTTGTCACAGTATTCCAGGTGACTGGTAAGTTTTTGAATGAACTTTGACATGGGAACAGCAAAATGATTTTAATGTATAAATTATTTTTAAGGTTGGATCCATCTCCATCAGCAGCCATGGTTCGAACGCATCCAACCTGCAGATGCCGGTCACTTGGGTTGCTATGAAAACTACACAATGTTCTGCATATCCAGTTTTCAGTACATAATTCTCGCTTTTGTCTTCTCCAAGGGTGCGCCGTATCGTAAGCCACTGTGGTCCAACTGGCCACTATGTTTAGCATTTATTGTAAATGTATGTGTCATAGTCTATTTAGCAATTAAGCCAAGCGACTGGGTAAAAAATTTTTTTCAGCTTATTGTACCACCTGTTATGAGCTTTCGATATATTATGCTTCTTTACGGAGTGGCGGCATTTTTTTGTCATGTCTTCGTGGAGTCTTTTCTGGTTGAATATCTTGTATTTAAAAAATACCAAGTCCAAAGAGATCAAAACTGGATCACATCTAAGCAAAAATACATGCGCCTCGAGCATGACATTTCAAAAATAGATAATTGGCCACCAATAACAGAAGCTTATGAACCAAATAGTTGCAACGACTGGGAAATAGTGCAGCCCACATATGTCAGCTTGCACGCTGAACAAAATCATGATACACAGCTTGGAAAATTTCCCGGATTTCTGTAGTAAATTTGTTTTAAAAAATATTGTTAATAGTAAATAAAAAGTGCGAATAATGTTCGCCAATCCTTTTACATTTCAGTAAGCAGTCGCTTCATTTTAACAAAACGGTCAATAATCAATTTGGGATATTTAATCAAAATGACGTTTTTATACCCTTGCGGAGCAAAGGGTATTATAATTTCAGTCAGAAGTTTGCAACGCAGTGAAGGAGGCACCTCAGCCCCTGTCAAGTATATATATTCTTGATCAGCATCACCATCTGAATCGAAATCCGTCTGTTCGAAATATTTGATGACTGCAAGGGTATATAAGCTTCGGCTTGGCGAAGCTAGCTTCCCTTCTTGTTTCAGATAAGTTTTGTCCTGCTCTAACTGTTATGTGCAAAGTGTTCATACCATGTTCCGTTATATTTGTAAGAGGTAAATGTAAAATATATATGTATGTGTCGGATCATAAATTATGCTAGTCAGTGTATGGGGAATCGAATCAAGTGTAACGGTTCTACTCGCTGCACTCTAACGGTTGTTTGTTAGTGCGCTTTATTCTACCTATTCGCCAGGTGTTCAGAATAGTTCGATGCGAACATCTTGCGTGAGGTTAGAGATTTGGAAAAAGGGTTACGCACTAGGCGATTGTCGTGCGTGTATGCTTGAGCCACTGCGAGAGACAGAGATGCCAGTATGTGCATCACAACATTTTCGATAGCCCAGTTTTCGGGATTCTGGAACAGTCTAAAACAAGCAGTGGTGCGCTCAATCTATTTGCCATCTACAACCGTCTAATAATTAAAATAAGACATGGACAAGGAGTATCTTGACCCGACATATGCTTTCGTTTCTATATCGGCTGTACATATATATTGCGTAATACGAGTACTTATGCCCTTGCGAAGGGTAATATGTACACTGACGAGCAAAACTGTAACACGATTTTATTGTTTCAACTTCAAAGGTCTGTAACTTTTTTTCTAATGCACAGATTTTGAAGATCTTAGTCTGGTTTTGTAGGTTATATCATTTACTACTATTAAGTAAAATTCAACCATTTGATATCAGTTAAAGAAAATGACGCGCCAAATTGTAAAAAAAAAAAAAAATGTTACAGTTTTGCACTCTGGTTATTTTTTTAAGAAATATTTTTAATAATGATTTTTTAATAGTGAGTTCACATCCCCTTGGACTTTTTTAGCTCTTCTATGCGTCTGGGCATATTTTAGGTATACCGTCGTATCATTTCCGGGTGAATATCATTTCATACGCCCTGCTGCCGCTCCCACAACTCCTTCATTCCACTTGGAGGAACTGCATATTTCTCCAGCTGCGATTTCACATGACTTCACAAGTTTTCTGTTGGATTCATGTCGGGAGATTGTGGTCGCCACTTCATAGATTGAAATTTCTGTTTTGACATCCAATTTTTTACCAATATGGACGTGTGCTTGGGGTCGTTGTCTTGCTGAAAAACGCATTTTTCGGCAGAAAGACCCAACTTTCCAAAATTTCTTTGGAAGATTTTCTTGTAAAATGGATAGATATGGCTCCTTTCGCATTATTCCATCGATTAACAACAAGGAACCAACTCCATTTAAATTAATGCACCCCCAAACCATGATGGAACCGATAGCGGTTTGTCACTCATTCCTTGGTGACTGGATCGTGGGATCTCTAGTCCAATACCAAGAGCGCCCATCTGACTCGAAGCGATTAATTTTTGTTTCATCCGACCATATAATCTTGAAAACAAAAGTATTTTGGAATTGCTTGCTTTTTAAGACACTGCACAGTGGTCGGTCCCATAGGCCAAAAATCAAAAAATCAACTTTGGAATTTTGATTTCAAATTTGGCTCATCTGTTTATCAATAGAACAAGGCTTAAAAAACAATTACTAGTAATTCGCGGAGTAATTGTCGTGCAAAGTGAGCGATTATAAAGCGCTGTTAAACCAAAAACTGTTGTAATGGATATTGTATATAATGGTATAAACTTTATTTTTAAAGATAAATATATAAATAGTTTGTCCTGTGTTTCGTGTAAATACTTGTTAAAAAAGTGCGACTTTTTTGTTCATATATGTTGTGCGTTACCAATGTTTATGTAAAGTTTTAAGTATTTCCCCCCGGTTGCCCCCAAATGAAACGTATGTTCCGTTATTTACTAATATTTCAAGATTATAAAATTGTTTACTTCAGCTGCGGAAACCTGCAGATGCACTTTTGCCATAACAAAATGCAACCTAACCTCATTTTTTAGTAGCTCTATCTAGGAGGAAAGCATGTTTTTGTTCTGTGTCTGTTATGTTGTTGTTGTCATTTTAGTTTCTTGTACTTTAGTTTTTCGCTTTGTGTTTAATGTTTATTAATTTTAGATTATTTTTTCGTTTAATTAGTTAATTCTTTTCCAAGGTACCCATAGTCAATGCGAGTATTCTCGGAAGGATATTTTTAACATTTGGATTAAAGAATGCGGAACACTTGCCCAAAGAACTAGAAATGTGTTGGATGCCTTAATTAAGAAGATAAAAAATAAGGGATATGAGCCGGATTTGGAAGAATTGCAAAAACAAATAAACTATGTTGTATTTTTGAAAAAATAATCTGATTAGCTTGAGTGCAAAGAAATTATTATTTTAAAATGCCATCGAATAATGGCAACACAGCCAGAAAATTCTTTAGTAATCCTGAAATATCTGCCGACACAACGGGAATTGATAAGAATTTAATAATTAGCCGCTGAGGCGAGAATTAAAGATTTTAAAAAATTTCGATTGCAACATACACGCAAAATTTCACGAGTCGCCTCAAACACAGATTTATTAAACAGATTGCTTTTAAGCTCTGACCCATTTATTAGTGGGAAAAGAAAAATTACTTATATCCAAAAATCACCGCTTCTAGAGACAACCATTTCTTTACTTAATGAAACAATTTAACAATTATGTTTATGATTTTCCAAGTAATCCATTATTTGTACATGAATTTCAAAGCTTTTTTTTATGGTTAGAATTAACCGATTTATTTTTAAAAAGCACCATTTTTTTCTACAATCTATAGCCATTTCGAATTATTTCGATTATTATATAATTTCAAAATACCCTTCTCAAAAAATCCTTCTTCAAATAATGAATTACTTTTTACTTGTCCTATTATATTAAACTATTTTTTTGTTATCATAACTTTTTTGAGGATGTTGGCGTGGGAGTAGAGTAAAGTCATCACTCCAATATTTTTGTATTATAGTTCTATGCTTGTAAATAACTTACAGTAGAAATATTAGCCTGATGTGACCATTTAAAGTGATTTTATGACTGCTCTCTCATGAAAGTGCCACCACTGATGCTATCGTTTCTATGGAAACTATAGGATATAATGGTACGATCCGGTAAATTTTTTTATTTCATATTTATAATATTTTTTTTAGATTTTTGGGGAAAGTTTCATAGCGATAGCACATCTAGAAGTATTTATGACCGCGGTTCCATACAAGCCCGACCACTTTGCACTGGTAGCAATGACTTACAGTATCCCAATTCGCTATCAAGCACGGTGGCGGTTCCATCATGGTTTGGGGGTGATATAATCTACAAAACAAGACTTAGATCTTCAAGATCCCTGTATTAGAAAAAAAGTTACAGACCTTTGAAGTTGAAACAATGAAATCGTGTTACAGTTTTGCTCGTCTGTGTAGGTTAGTTCTGATTTTTATATATATATATCTATAGGGGAGAAGTGGGGGTTGTGGGCATGGGTCGGTTGTGGGCACCCCTACGTATATTTTCACAAAATTAAGATTGAATTTTTTTGGTAATGTCATTCGCAAGCAATTACCCTATGTATGATTTATGCCAAATATCAAAGTAAACGAACGCGTTTGCTTTTTGAAATTAACGAATTGGTTTTTCTTGTGCTTGGAAAAGGTGGTGAAACTTTATTCAAAGATTTTCAATAGTGTATCAATTAAAGTGAATCGATTAAAAAGGTAAGTGTAATGCATTTTTATTTAGTCAAAGCATTATACTAAATGGAACAATATCGATTTGAACCAAAAAATTTATGCAAACACATTTTTTAATTACTTCTTAAAATGCCTGCGAAAGTTGGTTGTGGGCACCAAAATTGGGTGGGTTGTGGGCACCCCTTTTTTTTGGCCAATTTTTTTATTACCTACAATTTCTTGTAAAATTGTTTTCAAAATTTGTTTGGAACCCTCTAGAACATTATTGTAGAAATCTTAGGCTCTTGAAAGGGATCCTCTCCCGCTGAGAGGGATTATCACTAAGATTTTAACACTTTATTCTTCATTTTTCATCCGAAATGTGTGGACTTGCGGGGCAGTCATTATACATGTCAAAATTGTGTTTCCGACGATGAATAACGCCTATGTAGTCTTTGAAATAAATAAATTGTCATTTTGTTGATATTGGTTGCGGTTTTTTTTTACATATTATTCCATTTGCAGCATTTTTTCCCAGGGTGCCCACAACCCCCCAAAAAAAAAAATTTTAGCTGAAAATTACGATTTTACAAAAGTTCATATGAAATTTTTTCGCATGACAAAATCAAGTATGTTTCTTCATAATTAGTTAGCTTAGGTCTCTAGCTTTACACAGATACCCATATGTCCAAATAATATGCACTAGTTCGGTAATTATAAGCCAAAAACAAAACTATGCCCACAACCCCCACATCTCCCCTACTAATATTATAAAGAGGTAAAATTTGTTTGTTTGTTTGTTTGTTTGCAGCGAATTGGCTCCGGAACTAATGGTCCGATTTAAAAAATTCTTTCATCGATAGAAAGCTATATTATCGTGGAGTTAAATAGGCTATAATTTATTTTGAAAATAAAAAATGGGAACCGTAAGAAAATTGCAATATTTTCGCATATAAAGTGAGTTGCTACCTCATCACACTGACAAACACGCTCCCATAGCATTTTAACTCAATTTTTGTGTTCACTGTGAAATTGTGGAAAGAAGAATTTTAATTCAATTTACAGTTGAACTGTGAAAATTATGTGGATCGTGAATTTGAGGATAAATTCACCACTCTGTCCATAGTCCAAAATGCTTAGAGGACGACTTGCAAACATTGGCCGCAGACATCCAAGCCAGCCACAAGTATATTCACAAAACTTAAGCGAAGAAAGACAAATGAGCTCATGGAGATCATTGACATCATTTAATCGCTTGGCATTCCAATATGACCCCACTGCGAACTACAGTGACAATGAAAATTTAGATATTGGACTATATACCGATATTGCAGTGCGTTAAAGTTTAAAAGAGAAACGGCTGGATTGTGCTGAGCAAGTGGAAAAGTCAAACTGGAAAAGTGTTAAATCACCATCTTTCTATACTTCCATATATTTGAAAAATGTTGCAACATTGACTTTTATGTTGTTAAATTGTGTTGACCAGCGAAGCGGACACAAAAATTAACAAAAATTGAATTAGTGCATAACTCGATTCTAGTCTACTCGACGTTGTAAGAATACAATCATTTTTATACCATTAAGCTGTTCAAGTGTATTTAGTGTGAACGCAGTGGAAGCTGCTCATGTGTATTCAGTGTGAACGCAGTGTATCCACTGGAAGGTAAATACTTTATTATTATGTTTGGTGTGACGTTACAACTAATCAGTTTACATCTAACTATCATAAAATATTTTTCGTGCAAAATGAAAACTACTTACTTACTTAATTTAAATAATATTAAGACAGATGTTTGTGTCTATTTTAATTTGTAAGATTTTTTTAGGCAGTGAAGATGGTGTGAAAATCTACATTTTTGACGAGCACCATCATCCACCATCGTCCCAACCTCATGTTATCGAATTACAACAAAATATATTTGTGCAAGAACAAGTAAAGTAATGCAAAAACGGATATAATATAATGGGGGCTACAATGGTCAAACCGTTGGTAAAAAATGGAAATTTGCTGGATGCTTTGCCTTCACAGGTAGTAGTTTCATTTTTTAAAGTCAATAAAAACTTATTTATTTTGCATTTTAGGCAACGCTGCATGTTGTTATGTTAGGCTTGGATTCTGCTGGAAAAACTACGGCACTATACAGACTTAAGTTCGATCAGTACTTAAATACAGTTCCCACAATTGGCTTTAATTGTGAAAAGGTTTGCTTTTATTTCACAATTGGCTATTCTGAGAAGCTCCCTCATTTGTTTTTTTTTTAGGTACAAGGGACTATTGGCAAGGCAAAAGGAGTTCATTTTCTAGTTTGGGATGTTGGAGGACAAGAAAAACTACGGCCACTCTGGCGAAGCTACACACGGTATTAAATATCAAATTGCCTAAAACTTTATTACGGTTTTCAATTATTCTTAGCTGCACTGATGGCATTTTGTTTGTTATTGACTCTGTCGATACAGAACGTATGGAAGAAGCAAAAATGGAATTGATGCGTACCGCCAAGTGCCCTGACAACCAGGTACAAAATTACTTGACAAAAATTTGACATGACAAGAAAAATCTATTTATTATTTAAACAAACAATTCTTTGTGCATACAAAAACTTATAAATTATAAGTTTTAAGTGTTCTCATTTAAGTACAAACTATTTTTAAGTGTCATACGTCTAGCTTCCTTATGAGTTAACAACATTTTATTATTATTAGAGATAGAAACGTTTACATAACCATCTAGGCTAGGGGGCTTTCGGTTATGTCGGTTGACAATTATTTTGGGATCAGTGGCGGATTTACCATATAGGCAACATAGGCAGCTGCCTAGGGCGGCAAATTTTTAGGGGCGGCAAATTTCGACTGTTAACACTACATAAAATACAACTTTTGAAAATTAGGCTGCAGTCTAGGGCGGCAAAATCAAAACTGCCTAGGGCGGCAAATTGTCTTAATCCGCCCCTGTTTTTGATGGTATAATAACCTGTTGAATCTTAACCTGATGAAGCAATTAACAAATACATATACATATATATATAGTCGAATCCCGATAATTCGTACCCCGCTAAATCGAAAATCGCGATAATTCGTAAAAAATTCTGTTCTCTTGAAAAAAACTCGTTAATTCGTTAAAATTCGATACATTTTGGTCTCCTCGTTAATTCGTAGTATTTGGCGCAACGCAAAGAATATTGAGCCTCTTATAAACCGTAATTTTGTTTCGTAACCTCTTATAAATCGTAATGCGATGCGAAATTTTTTGTAGTTAAAGCACCGTTAGATTTTGCAGACAGCTATGCCGCCTTTATGTCGCTATGCATTATGAATTTGGTGTTTCTCTCGCTGTTATAATTTTATGTTATTGTTTAATTTTCCTTTTATTTGAAAAACGTACAAATGAATGTACATACTTATAATGTTTGTTTAATTTTAATAAAGTTAAATACATATGTAAACAAGATGTGAAATGTAAAAACCCCGTTTATTCGACTCTTTCATTTTTAAGCCCCGTTAAATCGAATTCCCGTCTAATTCGTAAAAAAGTGATCCCCTTGCCATTTCGAATTATCGGGACTCGACTGTATTTTCTAGGATTTTTAATAGTTCGTTCTACTGTTCATATAATATAATTTTCATTTCCACTGCAGAGTAATTTAGTCAGAAGTTTGCAACAGTGAAGGAGAACCTAAGACCCCATAAAGTAATTCAATTCTTGATCAGCATCAAGATCTGCCTGTTCCTATATAAACTGTTTTTTAAGTTTTAAAGTTATCACGCTGAAACTATACCAAAAATTCCGGTTATAGGATTACTCTCCTCCGAAAAAATCAATGGAACAAAATATGAAAATATGGGATAAACATCTTTGTTTTTTATCATACAAGCCTGCTGCTTTAGTTATAGAGTTATCTAGCGACTCTTAAATTTCGTGTAAAGTTCATGAAAATCGGACGACTATATTATATAGCTGTCCAAGGAACAATCGGTAAAAATATATAAAAATATTTAGTGCATTCTGCTCAATATTTGTGATGACTGCAAGGGTACAAAAGCTTTGGTTCGCCGAAACTAGCATCTTTTCTTGTTTTTAAAATGTTTTTTGATTTCAGAACTTTGCGCTTCATTGATTTTTTTTTTTGTAAGTTACAAACATTTTAAACTAATATAAATACATTTTATTTTGAAGGGTGTTCCTGTGCTAATTTTAGCAAATAAGCAAGATCTTCCGAACGCTTGTGGAGCAATTGAACTGGAAAAACTTCTAGGACTAAATGAACTCTACAGCCCAGTGCCGAATATTTCTATTTTAACTAGTTCAAACTCTTCTTCAACTGTCAATTTAATCGGATGCAGCATGGCAAACCAAAGTATCATAGAAAGTTCATCGACAAAGCGAACATCGAGTCACTTGCATTCCTCAATGATTCACATAAAACCAGCTCTTGAAACTGGTGACCAAAAAGACACGTTAACCGAAGAAGCGCTGCCGGCATTTATATATTCGCATTCTTACAATGATCCAGCTGATTTGGATCAACAAACTCAGCGTGAAGTGAAGAAATGTTTTCATAACAAGAAACACAACAGAGCTTCTTCCAACTCGATGCAATTTAGAGGATGGTATATACAGCCGACTTGCGCCATAACTGGCGAGGGTCTTCAAGAAGGCCTGGATGCTCTATATGATATGATTTTAAAACGACGAAAAATAAACAAATCCCAAAAGAAGAAACTTTAGCATAACTAATTGACTGTGACTGTCCTCGAATGCTTTTAAATTTTCCTTATTTTAGCACAATTAAATAAATAAAAATGCACAGCTGATGTTTGGTTCTTATAATATAAATAGGGTTAATCTGATGTTTAAATAAGATAATTTAAAAGATAATAAAACAATATGCAAAAAATACTATAATCTTTTTAATAAAAAAGGAAGGCCAACAAAGTCTGACCTGTTCTTTTTTGGCTCCCCTTTCAAAAAACTAACCACTAACCTCCGAATTTAATATCAGAACACAAGAAAAAAAAAAAGAGGCTTGCGAAGTAAACTAACCATACTGATGTTTAGACCTTGTTTGCATCTCATGTTATTGTGTTTAAAGACTGTGTTGAGTTAGCGAGCTTTTTCACTAACTATTTTTTGGCAAGATAACACAAAGATTTATTTTAGTTTTATAAAGGTGTATTTAATTAGCTCCAACGGAAATTATAACAATTTTTATTTCAATTATTTCACTTATGTTTATTAAGTACAAGAGTTTATTTAGCGGCACAAGGGCGGCGACAAAATAATACGATAATATGCGCAGACAAACCCGAATTAGTTTGAGCGTTAAATGCAACGATCTAGCAACGACAAATAGCTAGCAACGAATGATAATTATTTTCGGCAATGCCGATGCAATGCAGCTGCATGAGCTTGACGAAGAAGTAAGAAGTGATAAATGATAAGCGAAGAACAAAGCGATGGTTAAGAGAATTGCCTCGCAGGGCAAGCGAATTTAAGAGAGTTTGCCTCGCAGGGCAGTTTACAATAGGTTTTAGTTATTATGTTAAGAAAACAAAAGGGATGCTATTTAAGTTGTTTGGGCTGGACCAAACAGACTGATTAACTGATTATCTGATTAAAGTCGGAGATCTCAATCGCTGAAGTTTTTTCCGGTTATATTATCCTGGCTTATTGCACCTATGTATGTAGGGCGAAGCCTCATCACGATCGGCCTTGGCCTTCATGCCTCCGGTAACCCGGGCAAATGTTTCACGGCGGGCAGGTCCGAGCTGAACCTGCACTTCCTCCTTTTGGACTTTAGCTTTCCTGGCTGCCATTTTGGGGGTTTTTCGTTGATCAGCAACAATTGCGTGAACCGGATGTCAAAAAAGCAAAAAAGTAAGTACACAATATATAGGCGTGATCGTCCCTCTGGATGGGGAGGGCTACTCCTAATTGCAGTGGTCGTTAACCTTGCGTCGGAAGAAGTGATTCATCTTTATTACTTGATCATACGAGTATACACTGCCGCTCAACTGAATAGGTTCATGATCTCAGTGGTAGTAATTTGACTACTATTTCCATAATTTTTTTCTAATTCAAAACTATTAAAAATTAATTTATAAAAAACTTTAACTCCTATTGCTATCAATGAGCAATTTAAGCCCCATGCACCATCTAAGGGCTAAGCAAAAAGCTTTTTTTCGTTTCACTCGCACCTACTACGCAGACTCCTCTCACTCGCACTTGTGGTGAGTAATGAATAAGGGAGTGCTTTTTGCGGACGAGACTACCTTGTATAATTGTACCATGGTCCCTTCAGAGTGGGCGGTGTTTGCAGATTTCTCTTGTTTTAGTGTAAAGCGGGGATTGAGGCTTAATAAAGCTTTCTCGCTCAGGCGAATTCGGCCGCCGCTCTCCCGCTCAGTACTTTTAGGTTAGCATGTAAGAGAATTTGGATGAAATTAAAGTTAGTTGAAAGTTGAACTCCCTGTCGTACGCATTGCGTAACTCTCGCTTTCGTTTTCGTTTTTCGCGTTCGCTAAATATCGCAAAGAAAGAAAACTACTGCATCCCAAGTATCGCGTATTAGTTGTCAATATAAATGCATATTGTTTTTTTCAGAATGCTTAAAAGTAGAGATGAAACGGATAGCGGTTTGGCCGGATACCGGATTCCGGATATTCGGCCGACCGAATATCCGGCCGCCGAATATCCGGCCGCCGAATGTTTTGCAAAACTTAGCCGTTTGCGTAGACGTCGCGCCAACGATCGTTAACAGTTGTTCCCATGGTACAATTATACAAGGATATTGTGTTCAAAGAAAGCTAATCTTTTCCCTCTTTGCAACACACACATCCATACATCATAAAATGTGCATATCTCATTCAATACTTTACCCTTGCCAAGGGTGTTACAATTTCATTTTATTTCGTGTGGACGTCTGTCCATTTGTCATCTGGTTATCCTACAAAAACTTTACCAAAAGTTGTAAAGTTATTGCAAGCATTATATAAGTCGGAAAAAACTGAATCAGACGACTATATCGGATAGATCCCATACGAGATATTGAAAAATTGGTTTCTTTCAGATGAAATTTTTTAACTACTATCGAATTTCGAGTTCAGTTTTATTAAAATCGGATAACTATGTCATGGCTTGCCGAAGCTAGTTTCCTTTCTTGTTTTAAAATCTATATCAGATTGCCCTGTTCAAGAGTTTATATACTGTTTCGGATCCCAAGCATATTATATATTTTCAAGAAATACAATATAGCCTTTTGCGGATTATTTAGTAGCTGCGCCGAAAATAAATACAGGTTAAAATTCAATGGTGACCATTTGATGTCGTTAAAAAAATGTATAAGACTTTCATGGTCAAAATTGCTGGATCTCAACAGAAATAGTTTTGTGTCAAAGAAAGTTTGGTAAGGGATTGACTATACTAATAAAAATGATAGTTTTGATTTGACTAAAGCAACACATGTAATTAAAAAATTGTGGTACAGCTCTGTAATGTTAATCAATCATTCTTTTTCTCATTGTCCTTTCCAATCTCGGGATATTCCAAATTAACTCCAGGCTCACAAGTGAAGATGGGGCAGCAGTAGGGAAACGGAGCAGTTTTATTTGTTTTATCAGTGTCCAGTTTGCATTTGTCGTTCGCCAAGGGCAATGGGCCACAGTCTTCTACGAGTTCCAAAAGCCTTAAAAAAATGTAAATTTTGTAATATTTTGTTTCTTTGTTTTAAAAAGGTTTGCAATTATTATATTACTTCGATTCCTTTTCCTCATTTTGCACGCAAGTAGAGCGACCGCAGAAAGGAGTCAAGTCCCAGGACTTTCCAGGCTCAACAGTAGCACAGCGAGTGGAGGCAAAGCACATTGCCGGAAAATCTAAAAAGTTATTATAATATTATATTTGTTGGTCGGAAGAAAATCTACAAAAACATGTGTATGTTCTTCTAGTTTATATAAATATTTTGTAATATATTATAATTATATAGATACATATTTATATATATATAAATATAATATATATGATGGTCGTGTACAGTATATGTATATGACATTCGCTTAAAAAGTTTATATGTAATATTATGTAATGTAATATACAATATTACATTATTATACATTATATGTAATGTAATATACAGTCAATATGTAATATATAAATCTAACAAAAATAGGTACTTGACTCTTAGTTTCTTATATTATTAATAGTATGCTCTTATATGTGTTTTTATGTTTGTAAGCCAAGGTGTTTAGCTTAAATCAAAGTATTCATATGTTTTAGGGTACCCACAGATGTTGGCAAACACTTATACAAACTTTACCTTGAACGGTCACCGAAAATATATATAGACCCGGTTTAAGCTTTTAAAAAAAAGTACCATGCCCACTAAAAGGCGCGGTAATGATTGCTTAACAATTTCTTAATAAACATAAATATTAGCGACGACTTTTGTAATAGACTCACCTCTTAAAACATCCGCTGGAATAAGACGTTTAAAAATTCGAATTTCACCAGTTTTGGCAGTTTCATCTATTTTTTCGGACCCAGTGCAAAATGACGTTAATAAAGTAGTTATAGTTAAAAGCGCAAAAGCGAACTTGAAACTCATTTTAATTTAATAACTTCAAATTATCAGAAACAACTAAGTACAACTTTCTATTGGAAAATTACAACAATTTAATACGAATGGATTTACGCGTTGAACCAGTCTTCATGTAGCGAAAGTTTACAATAAGCCCATTGGCTCACCTCTACTTAAATATATATGTATGCAGCGCCTGCCTGCAAGTCAGAGCTTTTTCACTGGCTTGAATACAAAACTGAGCTGGCTTAAGTACGGCTTTAAAAGTTGTTGATTAAGAGATAAAAATGGCCAAGCTTTGTGCTTTGGCCTGTTTTTATCAGTATGGTGACAAAAGACCAATCATAAGATACAAACACAATTTAATACATATAAAGACTGGAGTTCTATTAATAATATAATAATTACAATACTGAAAAGAAATATTTGGGACGAAATTATATTAGTTATAAGTTTTCGGACACATACGTGATTATAGATAGATATAATTCTAAATAAAGTTTTTTGAAGGTTTTATTCAGGCCTTTAAGTAGTGAACAACAATTTGATACATATAAAGACTGGAGTTCTATTAATAAAGAAAGTAAAGTAAAGTAAATTAGAGTTTACATATATGTAAGTACAATACTGAAAAGAAATATTTGGGACAAAATTATATTTGTTATCAGTTTTCGGACACACACGTGATTATAGATAGATATAATTCTAAATAAAGTTTTTTGAATTATTTATTTAGGCCTTTAAGTATTCACAACGATAACTGAAATTTATAAACTTTTAAATAGGTTGACCTTCTATTTTTAAATTGTTTGCTTAGACGAAGCTCAGCCGCTTCTTCATGATCTTTTATCATATTTGTTTGTTTAAATTGACAATGAAGTGCTAACATGCTCGAAAACGATCAAAATCATAGTAAGGCAACTGTTACTAACGATTGTTCGAGTCGACAGAACTAATAGGAATTTTCTATGGCAAAATATTATTTAAGCTTTGGTAATTTTTCAACAGTTCTCACAAAGGTCAATATCAGCGGTTTCATTTCCGCTTTTTTCCCGTCAGATTTGGATTTTTTTGAAGTGTGATTGCGGGAAATATATAAAAACAGCGGGGAGCGGGAATTCTGGCTTTTTTGAAAATTAAAAAGTAATGAGTATTTTGGTACTCCCATTATCGATAAAACGACATATTCCTAGTAGAGGGTGATACAATAAAGTTCTGGGTTGAAGTTCAGAAATACCGGGATTCTGACGGAAACTGCCGTTTTAATGAATTGGCTTCAATTGCTCTGCAAATGCAGTCTCTGCCTTGTTCAATTAAAACAAAAATTCGAAATAGCATGAGCGTTGAAACGTTAAACGCTATACTAAGTATAAGATTTTGAAATTGGAAATTAATTTACTTAAAATTTTAGAAAGGGGCTGCGTCGACACAATAAGTGCTGTTTTAACTACAGTCTACCACCCAGCTGCCTAACTACAATTGAACAAAAGAATTTTTATCCAAGCGATGATGTCGTTAATACTGACGATATCTCATATATACTATAATTCTTAATTTTTGTACATTAATGTGCTGAACTGAGGGTTTATTAATGAAAAACATGCAGCTTTGAAAATCAGCTTTTTTCTTAACTTTTTTTCTCTGGTATTCCGCTTTTTTTTTGATTTTTTTTTCGTTGATCCAGCTTCTTTTGCTCAGAAAAAAATGACACCACTGATGAGCAAGCCCCAAGGTCGTAATGTACGTTGAAATCTTAAAGGTACAGTAAAATCAAAATAAGACGGCAAAGCCTAGGTATTTTGTGACTTAAAAGTTTTTCACAAATTTTCTATGTTTTTCTTTTATAAAAGTTATCTATGTATAAAAAGATCTTTCCTTATTAAGCGTAATAATAAATTTGGAATGTTGGTCAAACGTGGGCAATAATTATTTTTTTGTGATACAAATTAATTTTTAGGAGCGATGGTTTTTTATGAAAAAGAAGATTTGGCAAACGATTTTAGTTTAAAATCTTTATTTTTAAGAGGGTGTATAACGATTTTTGTTTAAAATCCTACAGTTTAAAATCCTACAATAGAAAGCACTCAACCCTCTACGCTTTCCAAGGCGTAATAAATTAAAAACCAAAGTTTTAATTTTTCCCAATTCCAAGAGGGGATCAAACGTGGTCAAAAGATTTTTGGATTGAAATAGCATTAAATACAAAGTTATGACATTTTCTGCATGGTTAATAGTTTCAGTGACGTAGTAATTTCTACTACCCACTTTGATAATAATAATAATCCATAATCCATCAACGCTTAAATCTAAAAAAAATCATCTAAGCTTGATTTTTGGAATATTGAGTACTCTAAGGACTTTTGAATTTCGGGTTGTTAGGTATCTATACATTTTGCCTGACTTTTATTCGTTCCGAAAACAGATGTTAAGATACTCTTTCCATAAAGATTGAAGAACTATCTCGTATTGCTGCCACAGAAATCATAAGAAAATTAATTTAAAAATATTTGTTAAACTAGAGATGAACTATAATATATAGCAATATCAACTATAATTTGTTAACCTAATCTTAGTTATAAAATCTATAATTCTCTAGAGATATATTTTTAAGTTTAAAAGATCGGAGTCCCGAACCCCGTCCGAGTTGGTGTCTCCAGACCAAATACCAGAGATCCAGGAAATAGTGTATTAATTTCGACTTGAAAAAATAGAAGATAAGTCGGTGGACACAAGGAAATCGAGAGATCAATTTACATAGTTGAAAGGGAGGGTCCTCTCTGCTTAGTTTACATAGTAGAACGGAGGATCCTCCCAGCTTTGCTTACGTAATGAAGTGCCGTATCCTTTCTGTCTAGTTTACTGATGGATCCATCGTACCCCCACTCCGGGGTTCTTCATCAAATCCGCATCTTCGTGCTCGCCATCCGACTCCTTTGGGTCGACCATATCTCGCGCAGTTATTCTTCGGTCGTAAATTTCTGTATAGGGCGCTGTTTACTTCCTTTAGTGGGTCTCTACGCCACTATGTTGTCACTCTAGCTAGCCTCAGTGTTCCTGCTCGGGCGCCACTTGTAAGGATGTTTTCCAGCCGGGGTATGAACCTCAGTCGAATTCCGGGGTCCTTTACAAGAAAATTAAAAAAAAATCACGGAAACACTGAGCTAGAGAAGTCTGTCCGTTCGACAAACAGAGTTTTGTGATCGTCTTGGAGGGGTTTTTCAGACCCAAAAATCCCACGGGCTGGACCTTCGGACGAGGCCGCAGCCGACAGAGTATTCTCAGGCTTAGGAAATCACTCGATGCGCGATAGGGAGGATCCACCGTCCCTGCCCGACCTGACTAGGGAATATCGTCCGTCCCAAAACAAGTTATTCACGAGGGAGGATCCGCCTTTCCTTTCCCGACATGCCTAGTTAGGATTGCCCGTCCCAAAACGAGTTATTTACTAGGGAGGATTCGCCTAATTAATCTCCAGTGGTTAATACTTCTACTTGCGGTTAGTTTTATTAATTCGTTCCCAGAAAATGCTCCCTGCACCGATTACAGCAGTACTCTAACCTGACTCTTGCGTTCCACGTGCTTTCCCTCTTTCCTTCGGGGTTCGTGACCTTGTTAATATCATGTTTTATCTCCCATATATAGCTCTTTTAGATGTCGAGATCTCAACGTTCATATGAACGGACAAACATTGTTGAGCTAATAAGCTTTTTTATTAGCTGTTGAAATAATTATGCACGAAGAAATTCTGTTTTCGAATTCTGTAGCAGCGATTTTATTTTCGACGAAAAAGAGTTACAAATGGTTCGCGAGATCGAAAAGAAGTAATACAATTAAAATTGAGACGCGGATCAGCCGATTGCTGACCCAAAGTAGAAGCCGACAAGCAACGAGAGAGAGCAAATAGAAAGATAATTAGAGAGAGGGAGCGATGGTAATTATGTAGATAAACTAAGAGCTTGCATTAAGAGAATCTGAATATCTGCTGCGGCTGGATGACCCGACATACTCCCCCCCGTTGGAAGCCTGGCTTTCAACAGCATCCTTAAGGGGCAGCAGACACAGCATATTAACTGCTCGTTTTGTCACTCCAGATGTTTTCTTGAGGACGGCAACTCGAGCAACTCCATCTCGAAGCTCAACGACTCTCGCTAGGGGCCACTTCATCGGAGGCAAGTTCTCATCCATGACCATCACCACGTCACCGACAACCAGGCCAGGCTTCGGGGTACGCCATTTGGAGCGCTGCTGCAGTAGCGTTCGGTAATCTTCCTTCCATCGGGTCCAGCGGACTTGCTGCAAATAGGCCACACGTTGCCATCCATCCAATCGTTCCGTCTTCCTCCCCCCAATAGGACAATACTGGGATCGAACTATGCAGAATAGGGCGCGAGGTCCAGTGTACAGATTACGCTCATGAAAGTGAGTGGCGGCAGTGACAGGATGGCTTCGTGACAATATGATTGGATGACGGCCATTGAAGTCCAGCGACGAGTTTCTTAGTCGGCCATCCACTCTAAGAAGCCCAAACTGATCCATAACGGGAAATGGAGATCCAAACGAACTAGATGGGGCTACTACTCCTTTAGACTGCAAGGATTTTATGGTGCTTTGGATATCTGACGCATTAAGATCCGGCTGACGAATGCGATTGATAAACTTGTAGACGTATCCGAAAATCCTTTGAAGCGCAGCGAAGGCTACGATGTCTGCGTATGGTGATTTTATTAGCAGAACCTTCCGACGATCATCAAGGCGATCCAAGCTATTCTCCTTACTAACGAGAGGTACAGCAAGGGGCGAGATTAATGAAGAGCCATTGGAGACGCCATATCCTCCGGAAACAACCCATCCCAGTCGAGTCTTTTGAATAAGCGGTAATCCAGGTGCGAGCTTAATTTGTCCAACGCACAACAGCTCGTAAAACAAACTGGCTCCAATCAATAGATCCACACGCTGAGGGATATAAAATGAAGGGTCAGCTAATTTAATGTTTTGCGGTATTTTCCAGCTGCTGATGTCCACATTGAAACTAGGCTGTAGCTCAGTTATACTGGGGGCAATAACGGCGGTTAGGTTCACCGTGTAATCAGACGTTCGGGACTGCATCGTAATATTAACTGAGTGACCATTTGTAAGAAAGCTCGAATCACCGATTCCAGTA